TCTAGCTCATGAAAGCTCGGCTTCTGATAATGCTGATCCCCGTATATGCTTTATTCACCTTTGACTGAGCAAAACGTAGTCAGGTGCGGTTGTCGTCTTTACGCTGCGGTGCTAGTGATTACGTTCTGTGATTGAAATACAAACACCATTAGAATTGGAATGAGCTTTGTGTTTTTTCAACAAGACATCATCAGAAATTTCGCCTAGTTAACCTTTTGATGTTAATTAGCTTCGACTTCTTTGTGATTTAACAAGAATATCCTTAGTTTGGCATTTGGGAGCTCATGATCAAAATATTTAAGTATCAATTCATTCTATATTTAATTATCTCTGGAAAAAAAATTCTTGGAATAAGTCACGTACCAAGAGAGGAATGAATTCTGGCTTGAATGCAGACATTGGTTTGATCTGTGTCAGCTCTTCAACATATTTTGAACTATCTGTGGAGAATTCTGTTTGGAATAAAGGAGGAGAAAATGACATCCGTGGAGCCAGAAGAGGAGCCGGTTGTTTACAAAGAGCCAGCCTTTGCAGATATCATAGGGGGTAAGAATTTTGCTTCGCGATCACCAAAATACTTCAATTAAATAAGGTATTATTGTTTTCATACAGTTTGACATGCAAGTCTACTGATATAAACAAAGATACAGCGTTTTGATTTCATATTGTTTCAATCACTGTCATCACTCATTCAGGAAAAGGAAAAGTAGAGAGGGAGAGAGAGAGAGAGAGAGAGAGAGAGGGGGAGAGAAAAAAGCAAGAGGCAGAAAGAAGAGGTGGGAGAGAGAGAGAGAGAGAGAGAGAGAGAGATGGAGAGAGAGAGAGGGAGAGAGAGAAGGGGGGGGGGAATTAAATATCTAAAAGATGGTATGAAAGCATTTTCAGGGGGAGGAGAGGACAGATATCTATCAGCCAAATTCTGCCTTTATAATGATAATAATAATCCCAGGGCATTCGCAAGGGGCCCTTCAAAGTAGCATTACTACCCTGGCTTTATGAACGATCAAGTGTGCCCACCTCCCCCTCCTCTTCCCTTCCTCTCCCCTCCCTCCCCTTCCCCTCCCCTTCCTCCCCCTCCCCTTCCTCCCCCTCCCCTTCCTCCCCCTCCCCCTCCCATTGTATAACTTTAGATTTAAACTAAGTAAACCTTTGTAGTTTGAGCATGGTTCCTTTCGATAAACAGGGAACATGCACCTGCATACAGGGGAGAGGTAATTTTAACCTTTAAAATTAAATGTTTAATTGGGATCATTAAGCCCATTGAGACATGTCTGTGGCTCAGGAAATTGTGATGAAATTTCAAAACTTGTCATAACATTGGAGTGACACCTAAATTTCATTTAAATTAGCCGTCAATGTACGGATAACAGGTGACTTCATGTCCTGTGGACAACCAAGAGGTGATTAGATCAAACCTGATGTGAACTTCAAAGCGCTTGTAAACAGTAGGCCTGTTTTCATCAGCTCAAGATTGTCAAATATCCCACTATTTGAACTATCCCGATAGCAAATTATCCAGTTAATTTGCGCCTTCATCAGCCTGAAGTTGCAATTAGCAGGATATTTGGTCGAGATTGTCATCCCAAGATATCTTTGGCTAGTTTGCAAAATATCCGCTATTTGTCCAGTGCGTCTTCACCAGCCCGAACAACAGCCCAAAGACTCGCACTTTGCACAAATGCTGAGCAAAATATCTCGAGCTAATTTCTCGAGCTCTAGTTTCAATTTTCGAAGTCTCGAGCTGATGGAGACGCAATTTGTAACTTTGGGATTATTTCCTTAATCAGCAGGCTATAGCGGGCTATTAGGTAATCTCGAGCTGATGAAGACAGGCCTAGTGTCTTGGGGTGTCTAAGTCATGCCTGTGATGGAGAGTAGGTTAATTGGACATGGTCTAGCCAGAGGCCTCTAATGATGGATGTGACGTTGGGTGCAACGCATTTCAATCAAGGTTTGTTGGAAGTGAGATGTTTGTATTAAAGGTAATGCTGAGCAGTGGCGTAGCTACGATGGGGGTCATCTCTCCTCCCCCTTTGAATGGGGGGAAATGGGAAGAAAAAAACAAGAGAGAGAGAGAGAGGGAGAGGGGGGGGGGGAGAGGGGAGCAAAGCAATGTGAAAAGTAGATGATGGCTGTGTGCTTTTATATTTCATTCACATTGAAAGTATGATACTAGTGTGACTGTCTGGTTTCACATTAGCCTCTGATGCGCATCATGGGTCAGAGTCTTTAATCTAATGAACATATCTATTTGTTGGCTCATTAAGATGGTCTAAGACCAAAGATGATTACCAATTTCTTTCAAATATATATCAGACAGCTGTATGAGGATATATCGAGTCAGGAGTCTCTGTTCATCCAGACAAATCTTCTTTTTGTAAACGTTCAAATATACAAATTTTCTTTTTTAAGTTTCAATGAATTGAATGGAATTAAACTACTTAAGCAAAATTAAAATGGGTTGAAACTATTCTCATTACATATGAAAAGCAAAAGGTTGCTTCGAACAAAATAATTGGACAGTTGCTAATACAATTATTATTGCTTGACAAACTAATTATAAGATTTATATTTAACATTTTTCCTTTTTATTTAATTTTATCAGGCCTTGATTCGAAGTATATTTGTGATCCCATAGCGATCCCCCTGTAGAATACTCCTGGATAAACAACTGCTTATCTCTGTTTATTCGTCTTCGATATTCATCAATATTTCATGATTTTATTGGCATTGACATTCAAGAAATGGGTGATTAAAAATAACTTATTCTCATATCCACCGAGACTATATATGGCTTGTGTATCATACCATTTGCTATGCCTGATATTTTTCAATTCATATTCAAAGAAAAGATGATTGGAAAGCTATGCCTGCATGCTTCCTCCCATCCAGTATATTGATTTCATGTGATACAGGATATTTGCATTGTCATGCCATATCATGAATAATAGAATCAAAGGATGATTAGAATTGGGTTATATTTATGCAATTATTATTTTTGTTAATACTGAATAATGATGATACAGAAACGTATGTAATGCAATGCGGTAATGTTTATTTTTATATATATTTACTTCAATATATATTTACTTTAATATGTATTCTCTTTAACATATAATTACTTTGATATATATTTACTTTGATATATATTTACTTTAATATATATTCTGTACTGACATTAAAAACAGAATGATGATTTCAATTTCTCATCTGAAATATTGATTAAAGATAAAAACGAATATATATGCACCAATGTGTCTTGTAGGTATATTTCTCTACTCCCATTCAACGATGAAATTGAATTAATCTGTGCATGTTTCTTTCTATCCAAAATATTGATTGAAGATGATATAGTGATGCATGCACTGCTGTGCGGATTATTCCACATGATATGTCACCCTAGGTAGTCTCATTTCCAGTCATATAATTTTCAACCTTTATCATGAACCTAATCTAAATATGTTGTTAAAAAGGCTATAAAATATCAACAATTTAAAGCTCCCCCTAAAAATTTTATTTTTTTATTTTTTTATGAAATACAAAATCAGGATGTGCAATAGCATATTCAGTCTATAATCTCAAAAAGTCTCAAAAGTCTCAAAAAGATAATTAGTATGTGCAGTGTCTGGGAACAAGACTAGAACAATATTAACATTTTCAAGTCTCAAGAAAGATAATTAGTATGTGCAGTAATGCATGACTATGCCGGAGGTGCTACATGCCGTTTATGGTATGCCCGGAAAATACAAGTCAAGCTCTTCCTTCTTTATGGCTTAATATTGAATATTAATTGCTTGTTTTTCCTTCAAGCACACATAGCAGTCCGTCATATTTGTTAAATCCATCATTGCAGGTTTTGTTGTGTTTTCATTTTGCCATATCTTATTAAATATTACTTCATGATCTTTGTCTTGCGATTTGTAGTTCATTATTTATTGTTGATCTAGAGAGGTATAACTGTGGTGTGTCTTCTACACATTTTTTTGTTTCCAGCTTTTTCATGTCCATCTTTATTTGAAGGGGACAACTTGATGCTCCATTTTTGCATGATCTATTTCTAGAGCTTTGAATATTACTGATTTTGTTCAATAAACTCATGTGTTTTTGTGAGTTTTTTTGTATGTCTTGTCTCGCTTCATGCACAATAAAGGCACATAAAAAATCTGTGATTTTCCTTTGTTTAATGTCACCCGTAATCCCATTTGTGTCTGTTTCTTTTCTTCATTTTTCTCCTCCATCTCCCTCATTGTACCCATCTCTCTCATTCTCTCTCTCTCTCTCTCTCTCATTCTCTCTCTCCCTCCCTCCCTCCCTCCCTCCCTCCCCCTCCCTCCCCTCCCCTCTTTCTCTAGTGTCACCCTCTGTCCATTTCTCATTCTGCCCCAATTTCCCTCCCTCTTTCTTTGTCTCTCCTTTTCTTTGTTCTCTTCCTCTTCCTTTCTATCCCCCTGTTTACCTGTCTCCCCCTTATCTCTCACATTTTTTTCTTTCCCTTGGTCTCTTGTTGCTTTCCCCTTCTCTGTTCCCTGTTCTTCTCTCAATCTTCTCTCTTTGTTTACTCTGTCATTCTTGACCTTTGTTTTTGCTTCTTTCTGTCCTTAAGCCGTGTTCTATCTGCCCTACTCTCTCCCTCTTGATTTTCCTCTTTCTCTCTTTCCTACTTTCCTCATCGCAACTCCACTCTCCAATCTTCCTTTTTCTCTATCATCCTCATAAACGCAATCATATTCACTTCTTCAAGGCTTTGAACTCCACATCACACAGCGTGCCACCGGAGATTCCTATACCCCATACACACACTCTCACACACACTAACACACCACAAAACGCACGCACACAAACCCTCACACACACACACACGCACACACCACCCCACCCACACACACACACATGCACCAACCCACACGCATGCTCTCACTACAATACATCCACACAATGCGCATCCCTGTCCCCTGTATTAAAGTGCTGACGGCTCCCAGTCACATATGGCACGTACATCACATCATCACCGGCCGGGGCTCGCTCAGTTTAATTCTTTTTCCTTTGTGGCATGGGTAACAACCCTTATTGGAGAGGAGTAGCTACATTCTCTTCCCATCATGGATTCCCATAAGGAGGAGGAGGAGGGTCAAAATACCGTTTGGAAGGAGCGAGCGTTCACTTCGATCATTGGAGGTAAACAAAATACAAAAATGGGAAATAAAGTGGTTGATTTGTGCACAATCATCACTTCGAGAATTTCTAAATAGTCTCTGGGGTTCAGATGCCATTATGTTTCAGCTGGAGCTCATTTTGCAGTTGGATGACCATATTGTCGTTGGTATTCTCGTCTCGTTGTCCGACGTTGCTCAAGGCCAATTGTTTATTGATGATGTTGGGAAAGATACAGTTATTATGTTTTCTCATCACTGTGTATGTTAATAAGGTTTCATTCAGGTAGGGATTGTGCATGATGTGATGAAGCAGCTTCAAAAAGATTTGTTCTTTTATGATTTGTTTTGCGTAAGGTCAAGTGGTTGTCAAAGAAGATGTCCTTCTAGTGATCCAAAATTTGCTCCGACAGTAATTGATACAGGATTAATTTTTTCATCTTGCAGCTTCAGAAATATTTTTCTTTTATGAAAAATATGTTTGTTTGTGTAAGGTCAAGTGGTTGTCAATGAAGAGGTCATTCTAGTGATCAAAATTTGGTCAATAGTAACTGCCTCCGGATTAATTTTGTCAAAGTTATAGTGTAAGGACTTGGGTTGCAATTATTTTCTAATAAAGGATTAGGGTTAGAGTTCTTGGTGGGTGAACTTTTGTTTCCTGATTTGTAGTTAAGACTTTAGTTAGTGGATTTTAAAAATTGCCACAAAGAAATTTTAGCTAGATCATGTGTCACACAACATTCCAGTTGTATATTAACGTTGCAAGTGATGATTCTAGAAATACTGTGAAAAATTTACAGGAAAAGAGTGATGTGTTGTGATGTGTTGTCATTTTAATGAGAATCCACATGCTGAGTAGGTTGTAGAGATTTCTGGAATCATTAATCAAATAAGATTTCACTTAAATCACTGTGATGTGATAAAGCATTACATTTCTTTTGTGATTTTAATGATGGTAATCATTTTGATTAATCACATTAATCAATTGATGTCACTTTCATTATTATTTCACATACAGAATACTCACCTTGTAAGAGAGTTGAACTACACAGTTTTACATTCTCAGTTACAGGAAGTGTAAAAAGGTCATTCATAATCTGGCTTTGTTTCTGGTATATTTTTGATCAATGATATTAGGTATCATGATTGCAAACACGATCTCAGTAAGATGTGAACTTTTTTCATCATCTGTAAAAGAGATGAAATTGAAGAACTGCGCAGTTGAATATTCACGACTACAGGGTAATGTATAGAGGTCATTTATATTATATCTTTGTTTCTGGTATATTGTTGATCAACAATATTAGGTATCACGTTTGCAAACATGATCTAAGTTAGATGTGAACGTGTTTGATCATCTCTCAGAAATACATCAGGTTTTTAAAGGTACTATGTCCCTTTTGCAGCCAACCTCAAATTCTGTAGAACTTTGCAGGAATAATGAATATGTCATGTATGTCCTATCTGTGAAATTTAAACGTTATCAGTGTCCTCATATTCAAATTATGCAAGGAAACCCGTTTACTTGCTAGACTTCACTATCAGACACTATTGAGTGACTGACTGGTTTTTTTCTTCTTTGGTAATAACATACATGAAAAGAGTTGTAAAGGGTACATGAGCATTTGTCTACATCAATAACCCACTTCTTGTGATGGCCAAAATTAAACTGAATCGGTACAATTGTCTGAAAATCAAGACTATTACTTTTGGGCTCTATAGCCCTAAAGTCGATTTTACAACTAATAGTCCTTATTTTCCCACTTGAAGACATTTTCAAGCCCCACCTTTTTTAGGGAAGTTCTAAATTAGTATTATCTTTCAAATGCAGTTGGAATTTAACTTTTTCATTTTTTTGGCCTGCAAATGGGACATAGTACCTTTAAGTCACATTTGAGAAAATCTTTTCACGAAAACAGATGAGATAATGAGGGCTTCTTTGGTGCCATTGACCTCTCACTTCGTTCAAGAAATGATTGTAAAATGCTTTTGTGACTCATATGGCAAGTGATCTCAAAACAAATGCTATTACTATTCTCTGGATTTTCAACAATCCACTGAAAGATTGGTCAAAAAAATGGAATTAGGTAATAAAGCAATTTTTTGGATCCATCCAAAACTTCAGCAAAAATCCTAAAAATGAATATTTGATATTGATATGTATTGCTATTATATGTTATTAGAGATGAAATTTTTACACTTCATAAATTAAATAGTGTCAGAGCATTCAATCCTTAAGGCATGCTTAGGATACTTTTAAAGGACTCTTTTGTGATAAGAATGAATCAGGTAAATACAGTGTACTTATACCCTGAGTAGTTCTGTCTAATGCAGGGAGATTTAAAAGGAATGTGGCAAGCCAAAGACTGTTCTGTTTTATCCTGTCTTATTTCTTCTGTCGCAGTGGGATACTCAAAGAAAGTAGCAAGCTTACAAGACTATTCTTATCCATCCCCGACCTTCCATCAGTTGACAGGTTTACAAGATTTTCAGGAGCTTAATAGTCTTCTCTTTTATCCTGAACCCTTTTATCTGTCACAGTGAGATGTAAAGAAATGATAACAATCTAAAGGTTATTCTTTAACGGTCTTGTTGGTCTTGTATCCTGCATTCTTTGAACTGACTTGGCAAGATGTAAAAAAAAAATGTTGCAAGCTCAGGAATACAAGGTGTTGACATTGTACTTGTGTCGTAGTATGTGTCAAACCTTTGAGGATGCTCTTTTGTCTAAGAAGGGCCATAGGACTATAGGTTATTCTTCATTGCTTTTGTATCCTGTGTTCTTTATAGTGACTTGGTAAGATGTAAAAAAAGAATGTTGTAAGCTTAGGAATACACGGATATGGCATTGTACTTTTGGTCATAGTGTGTGTTGAATCTTCGTGGTAGCTCTAGTTCCTTCTCTCAAAAGGCCATAGTACTTGTCAGGTGGATCAAATGCAAAATGAAAATGCCATTGAGTGAGGAGGGTCTGGAAAGGGAGTTGTATCATTAAATTGTGATGATGCATTATTCCCATTCCAGGAGTTGTCTTTCTTTTCTCCTTTTCTCCAAATGCGATCTCAGTAAGATGTGAACTTGTTTCATCATCTCTCAGATAGAAATGAGATAGGATTTAAAAGAACATTTAGGAATACCTTGTCACTAATACATTAGGATGAGATAATGAGGGCCTCTTATGTTCACCATTTGATGAGGGGGAGAGAGACATGTGTCATTATGTCTGGTGCAGGAAATGAAATGCTTTCAAAACATGACAAAGAAGTAAGGGGAGCGTGTGGAATGGCTAATGGGGCTTTATTGATCATCTTCCTTCTTTTGATGTTGCCTTCCAAATTCCAGTTTTTATTCTCTTCTCCCCCCCCCCTTTGCTATGTAATGGGGGAAGGGAGTGTGATTGTGCCCCATGCCCCTCAGTAGCTGCACCCCTGATACCTACCAGTAGTAACCAGCAGTAAGACAGAGACCATTTTCCTGCATCTCGCGTCCTTCTCTCCGCCGCAGCTCGATGTTTACCAAGCTGTAGTCGTGTCGACGTGCGTCAAGACAGAAAAGGGATATCCTCCGACCTGCTCGTTGTGTGAGCGCAACGCATATGTCACCATCCGAAATCAATATCCAATATGCTACTCAATTTATGGCGGTGCCCTCTGTGCCAGTAGCAGGTGATATATATTAGAAGGGAAATGATGCAAGGCTTGTCTTCTCGGAGAGGACGATAGGAGGGTGGTGCGTCGTTGGACAGAATTCCTCTTCTTGATAGTTCTTTGACATTTAGATGGGGTTGTAAACTTGGGGAATATAAATATGAATGATGTTTGGTGTGTGGAATGCAGATCATAAATCATTCTCAGTTTGTGTGATAAAGAAATTTGAGATGACTAGAAACAGGCTTAATACCAGGACAGTAACACTATCTATTCCCCCCCCCCCCCCTCAGTTCTAAAAAATGTAAAAATCCAATACTTTTAAGCTAATTATAAAGTTATAATATAAGACCATTTAGCTAAATTGAATGTGCATGTGTGGCATTCATTTGCATGTGCTGTATTTGTTCAAGTACCTTACAAGTGATGTACCGTTTTCAGTTTTGAAACAAATCATTTCAAACTAATCAACAATAACATTTTCTTGCTCTGTATAACACCTTATTAATTATTAAATTTAATTTGTGTATTCAGAAATTAATTAATTGGAGGGTGCACGGGTCTTCAAAAAGACGACGCATTATGTGTCATGTCAGACTCTATGTGCTCTGGACCAGTTGCTATTGTTATAAATTTTATGGTTTTCCATCAAAAGGGGAGGGGGGAGTGGTGGAGTATATGCCAGCTTCACCTAATGCTGGTTGAAATGCTGATTTGTACCTAAAAGCCCTTGTAATAATTACTGTATGAATAATTAATGAGAAATGTCTGACTCCTATGTTTAGATTCATTCTGTATTCACTTTAAAGATTACCCTGTTCTTTTTCTCTATCTCTCTCTCTATCTCTCTCTCCCTCTTTCACTTTCTCTGTTTTGGTCCCTCTTTCCTTCTCTCTGCTGTCTTCCCCTCACCATATCTTCACTCTCCCTCTCTGTCCCTTTCTCTCCTCTCCCTTTCTCCCTTCTCCCCTCTCTCTCCCTATCTCTCTCTCTCTCTCTCTCTCTCTCTCTCTCTCTCTCTCTCCTTCCCTTCCCTTCCCCTAGCTCATTATGTCTCTCATTAGTATCTGGTTTCTTGGTGAGGATGGGGGGGGGGGGGGGGGGTATGTAGTTACTTTCAACCTGAAAGCTAAAAAATAAGCCAAATGGGGAATCGGTAGTAAAGAAAACCAGCATGACCCCCAACCCACATCTAAATGCTGGCTATGGGGATATGGTTTCTCTATTTCTCATCTATCTATGTCTCCCTCTTTATCTTCCCCACCCTATAGCCTGGCCACTAACTTTATTAAGCTTTTTATTCCCCATCTGCCTCTCTCTCTCTCTCTCTCTCTCTCTGTCTCTCTCTTTCTCTCTCTCTCTCTCTCTCTCTCTCTCTTTCTCCCCTCCTCCCCTCCCTCTCTCCCTCCCTCTAGCCAGAGCTCTGGGATCTGTGTTCTTCACAATTAATTAGTTTTTCATCTGCATCCATATTTCATAAGAATCCATATTTGATGAGAATGCATATTCCCAAGACTCTTGTGGTCTAGACAGACAGAGAGAGGGAGAGAGATAGAAATATATTAATAATTGAATATCCCCAAGTAAATGTAGCTGTTTGCTTCAATAATAATATATATATTTCATCTTATGATCTAGAGAGAGAGAGAGAGAGAGAGAGAGAGAGAGAAAGAGAGAAATATATCAATCATAGAATATCCCGAAGCAAATGTAGCTGTTTGCTTCGATAATACTATTTTTTATGAGAGACTAGCTGGGTCGCTGGATCTAAGCATCAGTTGTACTATACATCTGCTTGCAGAGAAATTTCTTTAATGTCTTTTTCATGTTCTATGTTGAGACATTTTTTTCTTGCTCTATCTTTTGTACCTGAATGACCTTATACTTGTGTTACGAATGAGCACATTTCTGTTTTTACTAATATCAAAATGTGAAAACACATTATGGTGAAGTTGCATCCTTACATGTTACATATTTATAAAGAAGATTAACAATTGAAATTTGATGTGTAGATGTACGTAAAGAATCATTGACAGTTCATTTTACAGACTTTGCAAAATCTGGCCTTCAGGCAAACACATAATAAAAATGGTATGTTTGGAGCAATGAAGGTGTGAATTCATATACCTTAACGCAGGTAAATGCCCTTCATGTTCATCAAGTTTCATTCCTATACCGTTTCACTGCCAGATCTACTCACTCATTATCACCAATCTTTGAACTTGACTACTGCAACTAGATATTATCAAAAACCTGTGTGTTTATGTTTAATTACCAGAACTAAACTTTTTTTTAAAGCTTTGTTCAATATCTCTACCAAAAAAAAAAAATATCACAAACCTTTTGTTAACAAAACAACCAGAAGGAAATGCATCTTTGATTTTTGTTTGAATTTCACTACATGAACTAAAATATTATCTTCAATCTTCATGTTGAAATTTCATTACCAGAGCTAAACATTATTTAAAATCTTTGTCAAAATTTTACTACCAGAACTAAATATCATCATAAATCTTTGTCTGAATATCACTACCTGAACTAAAAATTATCTCTAATATGAGTGTTTTTATTTCACAACTAGAACGAAACATTGTATTTTTTGTGTTTGTTTATTTTTTTATTCAAATATCAGAACTTTAAAATTATCTTCACTTTTCATCAGAATTACATATTTTCTTCAGTCTCATATTCAGATTTAACCACCAGACCTCAATATTGTCTCCAATCTGTTTTGTTTCAATATCACTTGATCATGATTATTAACACTGGAAGTAATAGTACACAAACTTTTATAGATACTACAAAAAATATATAAAAGTAGAAAAGAGAAAAATCCCAGGTCATGTTTTATTATTAACAATGCAGGGCTGATACTTCATGTTATTCATTATGGCATACATGATACATCACATTCACAAATATTAACAAACTCGTTTAACCATGTCATCTGTTTGGGGGTCAAAAGGGCGTTAACTCCATGTCAAAGTAATATGGATCAGTACCATTGTAGCTTCACACAGATGATTATTATATTCCACCACCAAAACTAAATATTTTGTTTAATTTTTGTTTTTTCCTTTAGCTGGTGAACCTGATGGAGGGATAGGATGTTGTGGAATGATCTTAACGTTTTTCTCATGGATTGTTCTCATCTGTACTGTGCCCTTTTCACTCTTTGTCTGCATAAAGGTGAGTAGCAAAAGGTTATCTAAGGTCTGTATCTTAAAAAAAAAAATTAAAGCACATTTTTCTGCATTTATTGATAAATCAAGTACAAAACATTCAAATAATAATAATAGTATATAATATTAATGATTTACATAAAAAGTGACAACTGAAATACACACACACATATATAACATATATAATTGAAACTTGAAAGTATGGAGATAAGAAAAAGAATCAAGATAAATGCAGAGGCCAACTATCATAAGCATGAATGCTTGAGTCGATAGCAGCTGGGAAAAGGGGGAGGGGGGTACATGGAAATGCCTGTCAAATCCCAAAAGGATGTAAAAAGATATCTAAGGTCTCCAACTCATGGAAAATTGTATTGCAAAGATTTGTCTCAGTCATTGAGTAGCAAAAGAATTTTAAAGGAAGTTAAAGAACGTTGCTCGCCGGGAAGGATTTATGATCTTATCTTTCCTCTTATGGATTGTTCCCAGCTGCACTATGCCCTTTCACTCTTTTTCTGCATTAAGGTGAGAGCCAATATAATATTGTATGCTGTATTAATGTCACTGTGTATGAATAATATTATTATATTAACTCTTTAAAAGCCACCCAAAATAATCTCCCTGTGCCGAATTGGATAGATATACCAGAGGCTTCAAGATTTTAAAAACTGTTTCAAGAGCAATATTGATCTACACCAATGTTTATAAAAGGGTTGTCATCAAGACCACAAATGTGAAATGTTGCACATATTTTGTCTCATTCAAAGTAATCCTTCTCTCAATTGGTGCCTATTGTTTTGTGCAAAATTGCACGTGTGGCAAAGGAGGCAAAGAAAGCAAACAAGTGCCGACAGAGCTTTAAAGGTTAGACAAATCAAAATGAAAAGACAGAGATGTGAAAAGCAATATGCTTGTTAATTATGATTGATGGTAATGTGTAAAAATCATGTTTTTGGTAATAATGATAGTTTTAAAAATAGTGTTGTCTTGTGTAATGCTCATGTCTGGCACAGTGTCACTCCTGGTGCTCCAATATTATTATTACCCTGGCCTTAGCATGGCTGCCATTTAAGCATTATGAGGAATGTAATTCCTAACAGATACCCATTTAACTCACCTGGATAGAGTGTAGCAAATGTAGATTAATGTCTTGCCACAGGACATAAGTGCTGTGACATGGATTTGTACTCCGTACCTTGGGGATCACAGTCCGGAAACGTATCTACTGGACCACAACACCTGTACATGTTGTACACTAATATACCACAGTCTCACTGAAAGAGCTACTAATTTAATAGTCTTTAAGAGACAGACAATATGATATAAGATATATTTTGTGTAGATATAATGTAATGTAAACTTACAACTTTCTTCTCCTAGACTCTACACAAACACTGTACTCCTGCTCCTTCAACTTAAATAACTCTTGCACGTCCTAAAAATGCAACCAAGTTCTAAATAAAGGAGACAAAATGATGAGACCTTGATGTTTGAAGTTTCACACTTCACTATCTATACTTTAGGGCTTACATCACTTTTGTATGTTATTTATATTGCAGCTCTTGACCTTTATACTTTACTCGGGGAAACTCAATTTTAACCAATCAAAACATGTGTGACATAATAAATAAAGAACCAATGAGACACATACAAAATGGCATAGTACAACATAATGGAAGAACCCAGGGAGAAATAAGAAGCAATAGACAGTATGGAAGGGTGATCATGAGGTGTTCTGAATACAAATGAGAACTAAACAATAGAACAATGTGAATCGGAAATGGAGTGAAAATGAAATGGAAGAAACTTAGCATGAAACTGGTAGCTAGAGCGGTGTGTGAAAGTGGAGAAGGGGAATTAAGGAGGTCATGAGTTGATCTCTAAATGTAATGTAATGTAAGTCCTAGAGTATGGAAAGTGGAGTGTGAAATGTTAATTAAAAAAATTAAAGAATAATCACTACAACATATAACGGTTACGGTGATATCTATAAAAAAAACATGAAAAGACATAGCTGTGAAAAACAATATACTTGTAATGATTTACATGATAATGTTGAGACGTGCATTTGGTATACATACACTGTATGTGGTGCAGCAAGGCTATTGTTTACATACGAGCATGCATGCCAGTGCTATATACACAAGGTACATGCACGATCTTCGATGATGGTATTGAGTTTCATCAAGCGTGAAGTTCTTATTGGATCAGGGCCCCCAGGAAAGCAAAGCCCGTGCCTCCCCTCAAAGCCAGAACGTCATTAACTCATCATTTAATACAAGACCTACGCCCTTCTGCCTGTCAACGCTTGATTGGATCAGTTGAATGCGTTTTCTAAAGTCCCCTGTGGTTTTAGGCTGGGCAGTATCAACCAAATTGCAAGTTATTGCAAAGTTAGCACATAATGGTATTGATTTTGTCGCCTTCCATCCAGGCTAACGAAACAATTGAAAGTGGATTTAAGTAGGTCACCAAAATTCTGGAGCACATGCACTTAGTGCATCTGATATATATTTTGTTAAAAAGGGCTGCATGAGTTTGACAAATATTTAAAATATTTAAAAAGGTCAAATTAATTATTTCACTGCTGAAATTGTAATTCTTGCAATTAATACTACAACAATGCATTTACTTCCATCAAGCCTGATGATACTTTTTGGTCTATCAAAGTTGCGGTCATGTGTATTGTCATTGTTATTCATTAGGGTATGAGTTAAATCATTGATATTTAGAATGAATAAATACAGTAAAAATACTTTTCCTGTTGCCACCCACTGTCCCGCCATGACCACTACCACCACCAGCACTACCACTATCACTCACTAGCACTGCCACTGTCACTACTTACCACCTCCACAACCTGCCATTACCTATGCTATCATCGCTACTACTACCTTTACCACCTGCTCTAACACTACCGCTACCTCTACCACTACCACTATCCCCTACCACTACCATCTTCACTACTACTTTCAAACCCTCTACCTCTGCCACTCCTGCCACCACTATCACTACACCACTGCCACTTAAACAACCACTGCCACTACCACTACCTATGCAATACCACTACCACTAGGACAAAAATTATTCCTACAACCTCTACAACTATGATGAAAACTACCACTACCACAATCACAGCCACTACCACCACCACTACCACAACCACAACTTCTACTCCATATACCTATTCATCTACTACAAATTTTTACTAATCTCCATGTTTCTTGCGCCATGCCCTTTCCAGAATGAATCTAGCAGTCAGAAAATTTGGCTAGATTGAAAATGATATCACGCATCACTCGCTGTGTTGAAATATTTCATTAAGGGGGATGCCTAATTAACAAGGTGAGCTCAATACCACTTCAAGTGTGAAATTGTAATTGATTCTGATCATACAATCTCCCAGGTAATCAAGTTGTTATTCTGAAGGGTAATGAGATCAAGGAGGAGGGGAGAGAGCAAGGGAGAGAGGAGAGGGAGAGAGAAAAAGTATTAGGAGATAGAGAAGATAAAGAGATGGGGATAAAGAAAGAGATGGGGATAAAGAAAGATATGTAGATCAAGATAAAGTTATAGATACGTAGAGACAAAGAGAACTACTAGAGATGACAGATTTGGAGAGAGAGAGAGAGAGAGAGAGAGAGAGAGAAAGTGAAGTAAAGATAAAGATAGAGATAGTAGAGAGACAAGTGGGAAAAGTTATTAATATAAAGTAATGTTAGGATAGCAGGGATAATACAAACAACAAAGAGAGAGAAAGAGAGGGCGAGAAAGATATAGAAGTAGAAGAAGAAGAAAAAGAAGAAGAAGAAAAAGAAAGAGATGAGCATAGAGTTGAGTTGGAGACACTGGGAAGATAGTGGGGAAAAAGAGTTAAAAGATAGATAGAGAGAGAGAGAGAGAGAGAGAAAGCGATAGAGATATAGAAACCGAGGTACATAGCAAGAGAGAGACAGAGATAGATAGATAGTTAGACTAGTGGCGGATCCAGGGGGGTCTTAGGGGCGCACGCCCCCGCCCCCCAGGACAAACAAATCTAAGAAATACTCACGTAAATGTTCAGTTTACGCTTTCAGAATTCCCACAGAATTTATCATAGAGCATCTTAAGTTTCAACATTTTCAGGAACCCTCGAGTGAAGCCCAGACCCCCATGGCATAAAGGCTTATTGCTCTCAATTTTGTTCATTTCACGCCCATGCCCCCCCCCTTTCGGAGAATCTACGATCCACCCCTGTAGGCGGAGAGATAGAGAAAGACTGAGAAGGAGGGCAGTTCAGATGGACGGAGGAGGAGGGAGGGAAAGAGATACATGAAGATAGGGAAAAAAGAAAGAAGGGAAAAGAAAGGAGAAGAGAGAAGAAAAAAAAGCCTGGAAGTCTAATTAGCTTCAGTAGATGTGAACACATTCCTGTCATTTCCCCCCCTACCAGGGCCTTGCCTATAATTGGACCGTGACATTTTAGGGCTTGAGAGCGCTACCACTTCTCCGGCCCTACGTTTGGCGGGTTTCACACCATCTTAAGGTAGAAAAATGATCACCAGTCTAGTCTCGCCATGGTTTTGGTGATTGAAAATTACACAGCCTCTCAATTTGACATGATCTAGATTGAGGCATGACGTAAAAGTTATCGAAAATCTCTCTCCTCCCGTTTTAGCTCTAGCCGATTCCTGAATTTATCATTTCTGCATGGCCTTTAATGCGGTTCATGCCTTGGAATAAATCAGGGTTCTTTGGAAGCATGTTTTCCTGAATTCAAGAAACTAATAGATTCATGCAAAGACACGAATTTGCTTCTACATGTAGCAATTGGTTACTATTGAATCACAGAGACAGAAGACAGAGAATTACATTTTTATTTACAAGAGATCTATTTTTCTTTACAAGTGATTTCCCCACGGCATTTTAGAAGGTTACTGTAACTAGCATTTGTGAACACTTACTGAAATTGGAATGATACAGAAAATAAGGGCCCTGTGTAAAAAGATTACATGCACAACAATGACAAGTATTCCAAAATTATTGGTGCAAATAATACACAGGACTTTCTCCCAACGAATTGAAGAGCACCATTAACTTAATATTTGTTGTATTTGCCATGGATTGAATCCCTAGACTTCTATGTGTGTCTGTGAGTATCATACATGTGCTCTATAGGTGTATGTACATTTATGTGTGACAAAAATCAAATATGGCTGTTCCATTGGTCGACCAAAGCTGACAGAGGGTTAAAAATTAAAACAATAACCAAACCAGGCATAGAGATACAAATTAAAATAACAGTCATAGCTGGCAAAGACTTAATTCAAATAAAAAATAATAACAGGTGTATATGTATATGTGTGTGTGTGACAATAGTCAAATATGGCTGTCTCGTGTTGCTTCCATTGGTAGACCAAAGCTGACAAAGGGTTAAAACTTAAAAATACAAACAATAATCAAACCTGGCAAAGAATTCAAAAATGAAAACAATAATCAAAGCTAGCAAAGAGTTACAAATAAAACAATAATCAAAGCTGGCGTAGAGTTAAAAATACAAGCAACAAGAACAAAATCATTTAAAAGATGTTTTTCCCTTCTAAGTCAGCTATTTGGTAGAGTCAACAAGGCAATTTAATTAGGGGGTGGTGTAAAGAGGTCTGTCGTAGGCTGATCCTACTAAAAGGGTTCCCTGGCATGATTTTTGTCAAGAAGGGCAGGTGCTAGGAGGCCAAGATGAACATTGGGGTATCCCTAGAAAAGCATCGAGGGATCCCAAGGATTGAGAGAAGGGGAGGGAGGGGGAAGGGGAGGAGGGGAGGAGGGGAGAGGGAAGAGGGGAAGAGGGGAGAGGGAGGAGAGAGGGAGGGTGGGGGAGGGAGAGGGAGGGAGAGGAGAGGAGGAGAGAGCAGGGGGAGAGGGAGGGGAGAGAGGATGAGAATGAGGTGTAGATCTAGGGAGGAGGAGGAGAGAGAGGGGGAGAGGTAGGGGGAGAGGAATGAGGGTGAGGGGGGGGGGGGGATAGGATTGAGGTTTTGAGATTGTAAGAAGTTCATTATTTTTGAGAGCCAGAAGGGCATTAACTAGCTCTCAGCAATTAAAATGTATCCTGTTTGATTTGAAGTTATAATGATGAATACTGGACATGAATGTTTCAATGTTAAATAAACCTGCCTATAAAGCCCAATTTTCAAGGGAAACAAAAATGTGTTCTTTGTAGATGGATGGTCTTTATATTCAGGTGGTCACTAAAGCAGGTTTAATTTTATCCAGAAGTTATTCTGAATGGCTGATTATGAAGTGAATATAGGCAGTAGGGACCATAATCATTATGTATTATGAGGTTTCTGAAGCATTAAAATTGTAACAAATTGACTGAATCTTGTTGAAATCACAAACGAAACAACACTGAACACAATATGAGCCTACATGAGACTAAAAATATATGGCTTCGTGATTTGTTCCAAAGCACGTTGGAAAACTACATGAATTTTTTTTATTTTTTAAAGCGAAACATCCAAACTTGTCGTAGCTAGTGGCCACCTGTATATAGTGGTCACCTGTAATGTTTCCCTCTTGGATGAAATGTGTGTTATAGAACCTGTCTAGAAAGGCCACCTGTCTACAGTGGCCAGTTTTTCCTGTTTCCCTTGGGTGACCTCTTTAGACAGTTTTGCTGTAATAACAAGAATAAGAAAGCTGTTTTTTTTTTTTGCTCACCTTCACCAGAACCCAACCTTCTCTTTAAGGTGAAGGATAAAAAACGCACGAGTCTGGAAAATGCAATAATTAGATTCCTCCTTATCGGTACTGGCGTCCAAGGCAATGTACACACGCCGCTATTTTGAGAAGGAAGACTTGTAGGGCCGACCCAGGGGCGGACAGTTTACTTTCAATTATGCATTCTGGGCAGTACCGAGGTATTGTGTGATTGGTTCGGAGCAGAATGTTGTGAGAGTATATACCTGGAGCCTTGTTCACATTTGGCATGATAAAACACCTTTAAAAAGATCACTGGCGCAAAATATTTCTTCATCGTTCAGTACTTTTAAATAAAAACTGAGAGCATTTATATTTTTTTCATTTCACTGTTTGCAGTATAGCTTTAAGCTCAGCTGGGCTCTTCTGTGCTTTATATTCTTATATTATTATCTTATAAGACACAGATGAGAATTAGATAGTATAAAATCAGAAAATTTTGCTCATGATAAGGACAGCTATTTCTATAGCAAGAAACTTTTGCAAATTTCACGAAGCTTTGGGTATTGTCAAATCATGTAATTCAATTATTTTGCAGTATACGTCTAAGCCACTTGTAAAATTCACGAACATAATGAGATTTCTTGGTTTTACCCTATGAGGAGGAGACTCTGATGCTTAATTTTCTCACATCCATCAGCCATTTAGATTTACACATGACTGTTTGCTACAGATTTGTATACCTTGTCATATTTGAATGTGGCTTTCGTGAGAGACTTGAATTCCCTCATGATCTTTGAATACAATCTTTCTGTGAGAAAGCAAATTCCACATTTTTTTTTTTACTGAGATTGATATGAATCTTTGCTGCAGAAATCTATTTTCTTGAGGCAGTTTACCTTGTCATATATTAAGAAGGCTTTAGTGAGAGACTTGGATTCCCTCATGATTCTTGATAACAATATGCCTGTGAGAAAGCAAATTCCACTTTTTTTTTATTTTACTGAGAATGATGCATCTTTGATGCAGAAATCTATTTTCTTGAGGCAGTTTACCTTGTCATATATTAAAGATACTATGTCCCTTTTGCAGCCAACATCAAATTCTGTAGAACTTTGCAGGAATTATGAATATGTCATGTATGTCCTATCTGTGAAATTTAACCTCAGCAGTGTCCTAATATTCAGATTGTTCAAGGAAACCCTGTTTACTTGCTACAAATGCTAGACTTCACTGTCAGACACTATTGAGTGGCTGACTGGCCTTTTTCTTCTTTGGTAATAACATACGGGTACATAAAATGAGCTGTAAAGGGTACATGAACATTTGTCTACATCAATAACCCACTTCTTGTAATGGCCAAAATTAAACTGATTGAATCTTTGGCAGCATAAAACGTACAACCATTCGGTACAATGGTCTGAAATTCAGACTATTACTTACTGGCTCTATAATTCTTATGTCGAGTCGACAACTAATAGTCGTTATTTATCCACTCAAAGAAATTTTCAAGCTCCCTTTTTTTTTAAGGGAAGTTCTAAATTCGTATTTTCATTCAAATGCCATTGGAATTTAACCTTTTCATTTTTTTGGCCTGCAAATGGGACATAGTACCTTTAAGAAGACTTTCGTGAGGGACTTGAATTCCCTCATGATCCTTGAATACAATCTGCCTGTGAGAAAGCAAATTCCACATTTTTTTTAAAACTGAGAATGATATGAATCTTTGATGCAGAAATCTATTTTCTTGAGGCAGTTTATCTTGTCATAATTAAGAAGGCTTTCGTGAGAGACTTGAATTCCCTCATGATCCTTGAATACGATCTGCTTGTGAGAAATCTCACAAAAGAAATTTGAATAACATGTTTTGTTGTGAAAGTGACATTGAAACGATCAGATAGTGACAGTTTCAAGATTTCAAGATTTATTCATTCCATTCAATAGAAAAACATATGGTTAAGATATTACATGTGTAAAAAAGAAAGAAATACAAGTTATACAAACATCAGAAGGTCACTGATCAATACATTTAAAGGTAAAGAAATTAAATGGAATTTGGGTCACTGCAAAAGTCCAAATAAATTTGAACTTGTCGAGGCTGTGCCAAAAGTTTGAATTAAAATATTTTTGCAATGGATAACTACGTACATGAATAATTTACTGGACAATAACAAAACAAAACAAACATTTATATATAAGTAAAGAAGGAAAAAAAAATGAAAATTCATTTTATCACATCAAATAATATTACAGGGGTTACGTACTTGCTAATAAATAAGATTTGAGTTTCCTTTTAAATCCATTAAAACAGTTTGAAGCATGCATGAAGGTTGATATGATTTGCCTCAAGGGAATCGTCCATTCTGAGTTTGAAGGGACTTTAAGTCTGTGTAAAATGATATGACTTAACACGTACCCTTCTGGCTCTATAACAGATGAAATGGGGAATCTTGTGCATGCTGAATCACTCAATGAATTGCTGTTGCTTTACTTCCCTAGAATGTTACCAAGCTTTTAAGTGTCATCTAAATTAGTGAGCTACATTTTAGCTTAAGCTGCCTTTCAGGTACGCGGCCTTTCGCGAAACAGAAACGTGATCATGTGAAGATGCAAGTTAAGGACACAACCTTTCGTAGATTTGCTATAGGGTTTCACACAAAATGTTGGATAAATTGGACCAGACCAATTGTAGATGAGAGGGGTTTATTTGACAAACATTACCCCAGACAATGTGCGAATAAAGGGGCATATATTTTCACAAAAGGTCGGGTACAGTGACCACCCGAACCGATGCGATGACCCAATGATTCTGATTTAGCCGGATATTTCTAAGCCATCAAATTGTCCAACAATACGTTTTAGGTTGTGCAGGCAATTTCTGGCTATTGTATTGATTTTCAAAGTTGATTCCACTTTTACATGTATAGCTTGTGTTGATGTATGGTGTGGATATGTGGAGTAGTATTTCAAATAGTAGATTTCTTTCTAAAAAGGTTAACATTTGTGCTTGGCTGTAACAAGTCATTATTTAATTGACATATTCTTATTTAATCATCAATTTGTCTAAACACATCACACTGAAACGTTATTAAGTAGTATTAGAAAAGTTTTAAGAAAAGAAAAATGCAAGTTTAAATATCCAATGCTTCTCATTAATTTTACAGGTTGTTCAAGAGTATGAGAGAGCGGTTATTTTTAGATTGGGTCGGCTACTCGCTGGAGGTGCTAAAGGCCCAGGTAAGTCTCTCACACTTCCTTACGTCAATGCTGTCTATGTGTGGTGTTGTACTATGTGCTCAGTACAAATGTCAACTCCGCTATAAAGCAAGCGGGGGCGATGGATATTTGCAACTCGTGCTTACTTTTGCCAAAGAATGCGTATCACATTTCAGAATGCCCAGGTATAATAGTGCATTTCTCTGGATTTCCTGTCTTAATTTATTTAAAATGCAAAGGCAGACAAAAGAACAAAGAAAGAAAATACATATTTTGCCTTCAGTCGTTTGACAGGTATTGTCACTCTATATGAAGCTTGATGTACATCTTCTTTGTAATACTATACTGTGGATATAAATGTCAGGTGAACAAAGTGGCCATTAACAGAATATGTATGTGACTAACTTTGACAGTTTTGTGTCCCCAATTTATAACTTGGCATCACTTTGTCCAAAATTGTCATCAAAAAACTATTAAGGAAAAGGCAATTCTGCTCGATTGATAAAAATATTTCCAGAATCGAATATAATATGTATAAAATACCGGTAGGCATGGAATCGCCCAAAGATGCTTAGACACACAGTTACTGCAAGGTCGGGCATATTTACCCATTGTGTGAAATTTTCAAAATGATATCAATTCATTATTGTCTTAATGTCTTAATTATAACACAATTTAATGTTATCTTTGACAGGTATTTTCTTGATCCTGCCTTGCATTGAGAGCTACACTAAGGTGGATCTCAGAACTGTTTCATTTGATGTACCCCCTCAAGAGGTGAGTCACTATATAGTTTAAATTTGGAGATCCACCCCAAATCAAGTTTTTTTTTTAGATAAATAGGTAAAAAGATCGGGGGGAATAAATGATGTAGAAGTCAGGAAGGAATCTCTTGAAGAATACCAAAGCTATCTCGATATGTATCTCAAGTGTTGAAGATCCCTTCACATAGTGGCAACACTATAAATGCAACGCAATGCTATATATTACGATCTTTTCTCCAATTGTTTTCCACTGGAAATGTTGGATAAAGTAATATATTTATTTAATGGAGATGGGTTGCATAAAAGGGAGATAATACATTTATTTAGGTGTCAGAGAGCTACACAGGGTTTAAATGTACACACATATGAACTATATGCAACACATGTTGCATTCTGACTTACTTATCATTATGGCTATCCTGATGAAAATCTTGATGCACATGAATGCTTGAACAAGATTTCTCAATTTCCAGTCCATGTTTGAAATTCTTGTTTGATTGATGAACCAAGCCTTTTGGATTCTTAAAGGTAATACAAAGTTTTGGTAAATTTTGAAAATTTGGTGGATAGTGATTCTTTACAATTTTGATATATTTGGATGCCCATGTGGATTTATTATAAGCATTAGAAAATTTAGCCACTAAAACACTTCTGCTTTTGAGAAAAATTGAATATAAATATTTACTGGTGCTCCCGGTAAATTTTGTTAAATTTCAAATAGCGCCTACGGCTGTACAATAGTAGCTGCGACCATCAAAATCTCAGAATATGTAGTTGTGATATGTAATTTTCAAACGGGAATAGCTAATTGGTCGATTTTATTCAAGAAACATTATTTTACAACTTAATTAATATCTTGACCTTGAGAGGGAGCTATACAACATAAAAAGTTTATTATTTACAATTTCATAACTTTAGACTTGATTTCAACCGGGACATCGATCACAGAATATTGTAGGGTCGCATACGCTTCCAATATGTCCATTTGAACCAAATACATGACCGCATACTAAAACTTTGTATTACCTTTAATTTCCATATCTCTTTAATTTATGATTCCCTAGTCCTGTGTGTTGTCAGACTACATATCTTGTCATCATGGAAAGCTCGTAGATTTGTTCTCGACAGCGAGCTATAACGGCGACATAGCTCGGTGGGTGCCCGATGCCTCCTTGCTCCTAGCCTATTAGCATAATGAAAAACCCTGATCTTGCTCTTCAGGAGCTAGTTGCCTAGAACAAGCCTCAGTTCATGCTCTGGAATCCTGACACAGCCAAAGGCTGAATTTAGCATGTTTACATTGTCTTGAATACATATTTCACATGAGATCATACACAAAATATTATTACATATTACTTTGAAATTTGTATTTGTATTGCATTCATAGAATATTATACAAAATTACAAAATGTTAATACATTTTTTTCATAATGTTATTAAAAAGATTACTAAGTATTATTACAATTTACAAAGTATTATGAAAATTATTAAAATTTACAACAACAACAAAATTTTTTTTTTAAATATTAAAAATTACGGAATATTATTAAAATTTACATAATACTATTAAAATTATACTTTATCATTACCCCATAGTATCCTCCATTTATCACAAGAAAAGTTTGACTGCAAATCATAATTGTCTTGTTCATGGTTTCAGATGATGATTTGAGTCAGTGGCCCCAGGAGCAAACCACTTACCTAAATTAATGGATATCTTACCTCAACCGTCTTCAGAGAGTCAGCAATTCTTGAAATTCAGGAAAACATAATCCTCAAAAATCCTCATAAAGTATTGGAATATTTTCATGGATTATATGTGCGTATCGCATCCATCATGTTACATACTGTATGTGTATCTCATGGGTCAGTGGGAATTCCTTGATAGCATGTTAAGTATGATGCGATGCAGGTGCTTTTTAATGCCTTTACCATGATAGGCTGCTTAATGAGTAAGAGACCTATTGTGTGTTCGGAGCCAGAAGGGCATTAAGTCGTACCCTTTTACAGAGAGTTAACACCCTTCTAGCTCCCAGTACTACCCAGTATGCCTATTACCCGATGTGATGGGTGTTTACAGGAAGCTGCCATGCTATCATGATGATAAATACATCATTATGACACCAATATTATGTGGAACTATAGATGCCTATGTAAGCCTTCTGCATTTTTTTACAGAGAGCTAATGTTATGGGTTAAACAGGTTTTTGTAATATTTGTAACCCTTTTATTATTTGCACGATGTCGTGTGAAACTTTGCCTAACACCACATTCTGCAAATTAAAAAGTGGCCTTAATATACAAGTTTGACAGTAGTTCGACAATTTTAACATTGCTTCTTTATGCTGGCCGGGGTACACAGTAGTAGGGTCTGTGACATAGACTAAAAATACACCATACTAATGCTCATCCTATTGCATGCAAAGTGAACATGAAAGACTGTATATGCAGGCAGACAAATTGGGTAGATGGGACTGATCGGTCTGGATTTAAGACTGATACAAACAAGATTAAAGATATATCTGGGCAAGGTAGGGTTACGGGTCGGAGAATTCAGGAGGATCCATCGTCAGGCGTCGACTACGTCGGATTCATTACCGAGATACGATCTCGTTGTTTTGGATGGTTTAAATGTGATGGGCCCATGCATACAGCTCTTCTATATTCAATCTATATGTAACTGATGTGCCTCATAATATGGACATTTTGTGCTCCAGATTTCTTTAAAGGTATTTTGTGTATGTGGATATCATGATGAGTTAAGAATTCTGATTTAAAATCCCTTTGAAGCACACGTATGCGAATTTGAGAACAAATGAGCAAATATTTAGACCACATTTGTTTTCTAATTATACTTTTCTTGGCAATATTATTGGAAATTCAAATTGGCCATAGGTCAAAAATGCTTTTAAAAAAATCAAATATTTCATATGTGCAAACAAACAATTGTATCAAAATCTTCTCTAATTAAATAGTCCCTTCCTTGTATGGGAAATCGGAATTACCAAGTTCAACATATATTTCAAATCATTCATACATGTACTGGTATTTGCAAGTGTATGAATGTGAGAACTAAATCATTGCAAGTTTTTTTCATTATGTGAAATCAGTATTGTCTTGAGGCCAATTAATCAAGCTCAATACCTGTTTTGAATCTTTAAAATGAAACAATATTTTTATTTGATTCTTGTCATGATCCTTTGAACTCACCCAGAGGTGGATTTAGAAAGAAGACCAACTGCCCCATTATCCCCCTTTTAAACCAATGTGGCATAACTAAACTTTCAACCAACTTTTTCAACATTTTGTCCCCCCCCCCTTTTTTTGTGTGGGCATATCCTGGATCTGCCCCTGCCCCTGCCCTTTCCTTGCAATACTCAACCTCCTCCCTTTATCTGAATCTGAGCTTGCTTAGGACTTGATAAACAGTAATTCAATGCAGGAGAGAGGAGGCAATTTATTTGAGCTTATACCAAAGCAATCCCCTCTATAGCATAAGTGCCGTGCACTGTCAAATATGCAGGAAAGAGGGCCGGATTTGAACTTGTTGACTTGGCTTTAAGTCTATTTGGATAGAGAGAAAGGGAGAAGGGGGGGGGGGGACAGATAGAGGGATATAGAGAGGATAGTATGGAGGAAGGGAGTGAGGGAGGGAGGGATGGATGATGGGGGTGGATGGCAAGAGAGGAGGGGTGCCAGAAATAAAAAGTGAGCAAAAAGTCAGATTGAGATAGACAGTGAGGAAGTGTATGTGTGTGTGTGTGTGTGTGTGTGTGTGTGTGTGAGGGAGGGGGAGAGAGAGAGGGGGGGGGTAAACAAAGAGAGATAGCAAAGAGTATAGAGATAGAGTAAGATTGACAGAGATGGGGAAGAGAGAGAGAGAGAGAAAGAGAGAGAGAGAGAGATTGAGACAGTGACCCCAGACAGACAGAAACAATTCAGCAGAGATAGCGAGTAAAAGGGGGTGGGGATGGGGGGGGGGGGGGGGGGGGGGCCACTTTGGCCTGTCATGGGGGCACAAGGTCCAAAATACATTAAATAGGCTTGACTTAAGTTGTCTTTAGTGTCATCATTTTTAGATGGTCATCGCAGTCACTAAGAAGGACATTGCAGCAAAATGCCTTGCAGTCTGTATATGTAATCAAAACCGTGGAGAGAGAGAGAGAGAGAGACGCACATACACCCACACTTTACAAACTTACAATGAGACGGACATATTGACAGGCCGGCATAAATTACAGAGACGGGGTAAAAGCGTGATCACATAATGGGAAAACAAGGCATCTAGCTGTGCTATGAATGTCTGGAGGCTGGATGGTACATGCATCAAGCCCTTGTTATGCAGCTTCATAATCCATGTGCATTACAGTTATGTACATGTAACAAAATTTACATCTCTTGTTGTAAACATGCACTTTGAAAAAATGAATAATTCATCTGTTTGGAGCAAGAATGGCAGTATTATTTATGGTTATACTATATAATACAGAGTAAATGCCCTTCTGGCTCTGAATAGCGAAATAAGACCTAAAAAAAATAAAATTATAGTCATATTTTCACCGTTATGTTTAATAAAGGGTGCTTAGGGAAATGCAATGGTATGTAATTATGCAGCCTGAATACAAAAGGTGTTTTTTTAATTCGTGATGTAATTACTTCAAGCTAGAACCGCTACAGTGTCTGTTTGGAGCCAGAAGGGCATTAAATCATGTCATTGCAGAGTAACTGCAACAAGCACAAGCAGTCCTTGAGGGTCATGCCATTTTGTCAGCTGAGAGCCAGAAGGGGGTTGACTGCTAGCACTTCACATTGAGATAACACCCTTCTGGTTTAGTTCAGAAGATTTCTCCTCGGTACCTTCTGACAGAACTCTTCTTTTTTTTCTTCAATTGTTTACGATATGTTTAGTAAAATGTGTCACTTAAAGATAACCCTCGTGTAATCATATGCTTTAGTAAATATGTTAATTCAGATACCCTAATTCATATATTAACCTATGAGCCGGGACCTACATAATACAAGCTTTGCTTTTTAGTAGATCCCCCACTTTATTGATTGATTTATAGGATTGTATTCTCTGTTATAACTATTATCATGTACATTATGTTTTGTATATTGTATGTTTAGTTATAATAATTACCATTATTCATTATGTTCAATTATGTTATCTTTGATAAAGTGAAATAAATAAACTTGAAACTTGAAACTTGAAACTTGAAACTTGAAACATGATCTAATGCTGATGTTAACCTATACCCTTCAAAGCAGAGTATGTTGCATCGACTACAAGCCAAATTTCTACCAGTACCATGGCAAAGGCATACTTTACAAAAAAAAATGTGAAATAGAGGTGGCATTTGGTTGATTTCACCTAGTCTATATAAATAAAACAAAATTTTGCAAAAAAATGTCTTCATTGCCAAGAGTGGAAATAGTCTTTCAATACCATCACTAAAATGCTCAAAATTCACTATCCAAATGAAGACATTAAGTACTGTGTTAACTATTGTCCTGAATTTGTGTCTATTACACAACTTTAGACCATCTGTTAATTGTGCTCAATCATATGTTTTACCTTGTTTATTTACTGTTAATGTCTAGAATTTTTGTAAATTGTTAATCTGTATATGTTTCACCAGCGAAGAAATAAAATATCCAGAAATGGAAAATAAATACTAAATACAATACATATCGCCTAAACTTTTCCAGTATTTTCAGCTTAAAATGGATTATGCACAATTAGGCACTTTCACTTTTTACTAAAAGAAATTAGAACATGACTTTCGAACTTTTCACTGTAGAACATTTTTTTATTTTGGAATATATGTGTTGACATTGTGTTCAAAACTTGGGAAAACAGTTTCGTTTTAGTGTGTAATGATTCATTTTCTTCTCCTGTTTCATAGATTCTCACCAAAGACAGCGTGACGGTGTCTGTGGACGCGGTCGTCTACTACCGAGTCCAGAACGCCACCATCAGCATCGCCAATGTGGAGGACGCCAATGCCTCGACCCGCCTCCTGGCCCAGACCACCCTGCGGAACGTGCTCGGAACCAAGAACCTATCAGAGATCCTCTCAGACCGGGAGGGTATCAGCCATTATATGCAGGTATGTCCGTCTGGTTACGGATCTGATTATTATTACTATTATTATTTATTTGACGTATCAGAAATCATACAATGGGTATAACAATCAGATAATACATAGAAATTTCATAATACATGCCAATAGTTTTAGGAAAGGGGAGAGGAGAGAGAGAAGGATACAATCTGCTGGTCAGGGTGACAAAAGAAATTTAAATTGCTATTACTCGAAAGCATGTCACCCCCACAGGCTGCATCCTGGAAAACAAAGAGTAAAGAACAGAATAAGAATTCACAGTATGACATGTATCAGGATAAAATTATGATAATTTCAACAATTACCAATATATACATCATTACTTTCATTACATTATTTTGTAATTACGATGGCTTTACATTTATCACATAAAACTAAAAACTTTCAAAACAATAAAGTGGTGCCTACATTAATAGAGACATTTGATTGGATTATTATCAGGAAGAAAAGGACTGGTAATGTAATAACATGATACGGTACAGTACCTTTTCTTGCAACATATTCCATCCAATGACTATATCGCTGGTTTTGAGACAGAAGGGCGTTAACTCCTATACTTTGATACAGAGTTAATGCCCTTCTTTCTCCAAATACAAGATATTTTGTCACAGATCTGCTACTTGTTCTCGTGACATATTTTGTCCATTGACTATCGCTGCTTTGGAGTGAGAAGGGTGTAAACTACCATACTTTGATACAGAGTTAATGCCCTATTGCTCCAAATAGAAGATAATTTCTCTCCTGACATCAAAGAGGGTAAGGGCATGGGTGATGATTGGGTGTCAGATAAGGTATAAGATAAGGGTCAGTCAATTAGCAAATAGATCAATGTCATCTGACCATTGAGCAGTTGTCACAGAAAGAGCATCATTGGGGTACAATCGTTCAGTCACTACTGTGTCATTTTTTTCCTATATGTCAATTATGGAATGTAACCTACCACTATGATCATAATAATGGGACACAGAAATGCTACATAGTGTCAATGGGACATGGTTCTAATTCGTCTGTAACTTATCAAATGTTTTATCTCTGAGGAACCGATAGCAGTCTTAAAAATGTGCTGTATAAATAGATAGCATACTTCGAAGATACAAAATTGCAACTTCTGTAGATGGCTGTCTAAAATTGCGCTTCACTTTTTCCAGAGCTGATAAAAACAAAACAGTACGAAAACAAGAAGTGATTGTGTAGTATCTAGATGTATAAACACATGTCTTTTTCTAATCGTTACAGTCAAGTTTGGATGAGGCGACAGATCCTTGGGGTATCAAAGTCGAACGTGTTGAAATGTAAGTATTGAAGCAGCCATTTTGTTTCTTGATGTCAGATAGACAGTGTTGGCCATGTGCAACTCCTAAAGGGGTCAATGTAATCCTGAAACAAAATCTATGTAGGCTTTTATAGGATGTATAATTATAGCCTAAAGTAACCTCTTGGTTTTTTAATACTCCTTGATTAAACGAACCCTGTAGGAAATAATATGCATAAAGCCAAAGTGCCTCATAGACTTCTAACAGCCTTATGTATTTTATTGCTTAGGAATTGCAGAAGGGAGGCAGGTTATTTAGGTAGCTTAATAGCGAAATCCAATGGCATGAAAAGATGCGTCCAGAAAGTAAAAGGTGAAATAGTTAGTGATGTCTGTTAATCAAAAGTTCTTTTTATAACATATCTGAATGAAAGTGTAGCTAAATTTAATGTCAGGAATATTCAAAAGGTTTCACTATTTTTAAATTTCAAAAGGCTTTCATTATTTCTAAGCAATTGCTCTTCGATGAATCAATATATACCCTCTGAAAATGATGAGTCTTGACACTATTAAAGGATGCATTACATTATGGAAATGTAGGAAATCAGTTTTTTATAATACGAGCTTACTGGAGTATGCAAAAAATGTGTATTATTTGAACAAACACTTTTTATTGCATTAACATTTACCCTCAGTGTATGATAATTGATGGGAACAACAACTAAGGGAGAAGAAAGGAAACTAGTAAAGTAACAATACTGTGGCAAACAGATTACCAATCATGTCTTAACCTCTGTGAAAAAAAAGTATATGCAGTGGTCATTAGCGTGCATTAAACGGCAGGTGGAGAATCTATTATCTATAGAAAGCCTATTTTGGATGGCCATTACATGGACTGGCGTTAATGGGCAAATGGACGTACAAATATGCTAAAAGCATAAATTATAGACTGTGATGGTAGTTTCCATGGGGATAAATGTAAATGAAACTAACGCTATTTACCCAGACTGAAGTTTTATGCTCTGTGAGAATTTGAGTTTAGCTTTTGGAATAATAGGGAGGAGAAAACGAGACAGGCTGTTTTTGAATATAATTTAATGGAAATCTGAAGGACACATGTGATAGAACTTGTTTGTCTGGCTGAAAAGTGCAAACAGAGGCACGGCCAGGCAATGAATATTTCTAGCAGAAAATCATTTGTGATATTTGTATCGTTCTTTGAATACATCTACTCAGTATATTTCAGTTTGTACATTGTCTGATTGTAATCAGTGATTGGTTTTGAACTTTTCCACATTGTTTCTTTATCGTTTCATTAGAAAAAACTAAATCATTGAAACATATAGTAGAAATTCCAGTTTGTGACTTTGACAGGGAACAAGAGTAGTAAGATTTCTGACGGTACAATGCCATCTCCTTGAAAACCTATCCTTTATCCTTGTCCAAATTAATGCTAATTTGATTTTTCTTTTTTTTAAAACAACGTCCTATACATAGTTATGTCATGTGCCGTAAATTCAACACTGCCTCTTTTCAGAATTCTGTCATAATTCCTTTTCATGTTGTATTTTTTTGTCATTGTCTTAATTCATCCTTGTGGCTAAAACCATCAGTGCCACACAAACTTATCCTATGTGCCAATAAATCCCACCCCAGGCTTCCATTATACAAAGTTTGATAGCATAATACATATCCATGTTCATCATCATCATCATCATCATCATCATCATCATCATCATTTCCAGTCATCACACAACTACTTCCCACTATCTAGCAAAAGGAAGAGCCACATCGATCGTTAGCCTCTGCCAGGCCCCTCCCAGTGCATGTGTCAGGCAGCGTGTCAAGGCTCACTGTAGATGGTCCATGGTCTGAGGGTGCCCTTCATGCCCGCACTCCAAGTGCATGAAGCAAAGACAATGATGATACTGTGGGTCGATGTCCTTTTTTGTGAGTCAATGTCCTTTTGTGTGTGTGAAGATTCTGATACGTTACATGGACTTTATGACTAGATTACAGAATTGGGGCCATCTGTTACCATTGTCTACCTAGATCCAGAAGGGCTTTACCTCTGTGTGATATGATATGAGGTAAGGTCCTTTTGACTCTCAGCAGATGATACATGCAAATGATCACTCTCTATACAGTAGATTCATGAAGTTTTTTGGCTCAAAAAGACGCTTCCGTAACGCAAACTACATAATTGTTGAAAATCATAATGTTATCTTACAAAGGTGGATCCATATCATTAGTATAAGGAGCTGGTAAGAGCATATACCATCTTGATGAGGCTTAATATTAGCTAAACAAATATTCTGATATATATTACAAAAGAATTTAAAAGAATATATAACGGACATCATTATTAAACTATTCTACATTTTCCTAAGCTACCTAAGACTTAGTTTGACAAACAGGCCATTACAAGCGATATCATCTGAGTTTATCCAATTTTGCACGAAGGTGGAACGGAGCATGCAGGTGTAAACCTTGCCATGGTTTCATTATGATATATCAAGGAGCCATTAAGAAGTGCAGAGACGATGCATGTTTGCGTACCCTCTGCTATTTTCTGCTATTTGCTCCTGGGCTTCAACCAAAATGACATCCACACCCTCGCCAACACTCTCTCTATATCATCAACGTTTCAGACATATTTTGTTATTATTGCTCTTGAGCTGTTCCTTATTTCTATTCAAAGAGGTGTGGTGAACTGGATGGCCATGTAGTCTGTCCTCTCCCTTTCCAGAAAAAATAGGATTCAAATGGTATTCTTCAGACCTTTGTTTGCTTAACAAATAATTTGAAGAGATAACACATTTCTGAAAATTAAGAATGTCTTCTTTTATTTGTCTTATTACATGATCATGTGTACCCCCGTCTCCCCCTCTTTGAAAATTACTGGATCCATCCCTGTTCAAAATCAGTTATTGCTTTAGAGATATGGCTATCTTTATCCATGTCATTCCCTCCATTGCAACAAGGATGCAAGCTTTGATGTGCTTATGATAATATCCCATAAATGTTTTTTTTCATTACAGCAAATATGGTCATCTACCTGTTCACCTATAATGTAGAGCGTGATATAAAAACAGAGTCTAAGGCATCACTATCAACCTAATTCTCTCCATTGCAGCAGGGATGTTCCTATACTAACATAACCTGTTCATAATTCATATTTATTACAATACTGTATGTTGCCGGTTCATCTTCAGAGTGCTACATTACTGAGACTTGGACATCGCTATCCATCCCATTCTCTCCATTGCAGCAGGGATATTCTTATTTGCTTATTGTGACTTGACTTAGATGCGTAGGACGTTGTGTACCTAGCTTGCTCTGCTACGAGAAATCATGCTCCATTCTGATCTGTCCTGGGCTTGTTGCTCTGCGTCTTGTGTGGGTAATCCCACATCTCACCAAACTTGGTCCTTCCATCTCGTTGGAGGGCGTCCCCGAGGTCTGCGTGCATCAAAGTCATTCTGGCATGCTTGGTATAGTTGGCAATGATGCGGCATGCGTACAACTTGGCCAAACCATTTCAAGCGTGGTTTAGTTATTTCTTCGCATATGATGCTTAGGATCATCAGCCTTATAGTGCTTAGGATGAACAGCCTCATAGTGCTTATAGTAATATCCTTTAACATTTTTGTTTATTACAGCAATATGTACCTGTTCAGCTTCAGACAGATACAATATAGTGACTTGGCCATCTCATTCTCTCCATTGCTCAGGGATGCATTTATGTGTCTATTATAATCTATTTCACATTTCTTTTCATTACAGTAAAGATGTTCGTCTACCTGTTCAGTTACAGAGAGCTATGGCTGCAGAGGCTGAAGCTGCCAGGGAAGCAAGAGCAAAGGTAGGTTTATCATTCTCTGGCCACAATTTTTCCACGGTCATTCTTAAAGGTAAAGGCCAGTTTTGGAAACGCACCCCTCTCAAAAAATGAAATGGAAGCTCTCATTACCAATCATGTGAAAGAATATTTTTTGACTAATACGTGATGATACAAATTTTGACGAGAAACTGCCTACTAATTGATATATTTGGTAAATTATTATATCTATCCGGACCGGATAGATATCGCACATGTTTTGCGTAGTCCCATATACATCCGGAGTGTTGGCTCAGTCAGTAGAGCGTCCGCCTCACAACCGGGAGGTCGTGGGTTCGAACCCCGGCCGCGTCATACCAAAAGACATTAAAAGATGGGAGTTGTTGCTACCTTGTTTGGCGTTCAACAATAAGGGATAGAGCAACGTCGATCTGGCGCTACTCAGTGGCTGCTGGGCTCACGATCAATTGGGCAAAAAGAATTTCCGTTTCGGTTTAATAAAATTTGGAGTGGACTATTAGGCTATTATTATTATTATTATTATTATTATTATATACATTTTTCTGTGTACAGTGCTTGTAACTTTACCAAGACTGGGCCAAATTTCTTATCGTTTTGATGATTCCAGAACCTTGCAGTACACACTAATACTTAAATGCTAGATGATCAACCTTTTCTGATCGATTCGACAATGTTTCTTTCACAATGCAATCGCATGACCATAACTGGTCTTTACTTTTAAACTGTATTCCAAGCTTTAAATCTTAATCCAAAATTATACCTAACCCAAAGCCTTTCCCTAACCTAGAACACACTCGCACGTGAACGCTATCTGCATATATTTTGTTTATGAATTAGAGCATGGACTAAAAGTCTTTTGCTAGGCTCACAGTAATGCCATCATTTCTATCAAGGGTCATTTTTTTCAACAGCTCTTAGATTAAAGGATCAGAAACATATCGTTTTCAAGTCCACTCAATAATTGTACACAATTAACAGGGATTATGAATGTATACAGGCTTCATGTATATGTATCTAGTATGTATCTAGTATAACTCTTCTGTAGACCTTCCAAAAATCTTCCATAAATCACGTCATTGTCCCAATAAATTGGCAAAATACTCTAGGCAAGTAGAATAAATATTGGGTCATTAGCTATTCAGATCAAACAATCTTTTGTATCAAGTACCAAAAAAAAGGGTTGTTTTGGTAGATATTAAAAGAGCAAAGCTTGATGTAGTTAATCATTTGTTGATGTTTTAAATTTTCCTTTTCATATAACAATGTATCATATTGTAAGTTTTAAATCCCCACTGCACTAGTTTGGCCAGGAGGGATTAGACCTCCCTGCATGGTCACTGACAGGTGGTTATCTAATCAAATCAGCCCTCACTTAACATAAGAAAAAGGGGATCATGGGGGACCAATGGTCACCGCTTAGGCATTGTTTGCTATATAGAGGGCACAAGTGGATACAAGTAGTGCAGACGGGCTTTAAAGTTTCCTTTTATATGACATTGTATCATATTCAAGTTTTCATGAGAGAAATTTCTACTTTGAATCTCCACATACGTTCTTAGGTAATAGCAGCAGAGGGAGAACAGAACGCCTCGCGAGCCCTGAAGGAAGCTGCTGATACCATCTCAGAATCCCCTACCGCTCTCCAGCTTAGATACCTTCAGACCCTCAACACTATCTCAGCCGAGAAGAACTCAACAATCATCTTTCCTCTGCCAATTGATCTTCTAAAGTAAGTCTCTCCAGTATCTTTACAAGTTGATCTTCTTCCCCTGATGGTATCACACTGTATCTGATGGCTACCGTGTGTTTCAATGGTTCTTAAAGTAGAGGTCCTAGCCCTCTGGGATATTGAATAATGAGGGTAATTTTATTTTTTTTGGTGGGGGATGGTGGTTTAGGGGGTTAAATAAATCTTGAATTGTATGCAAAAATATCATTAAAGTCTAATGACCCCATATGTCGGGGGGGGGGGGTGCCAAAATGTGACATTGGCATGGAATGCCTCATGGTTTTGGAACCAACAGAGTCAGAGTACTGACCAAAGATTTTTTTTTTTTTTTGTTTTTTAAAACCATTAAAAACACCCATTTGTGGTGTCTACACCAACAATCTATTTCCTTCTGGATTTGAGACCTGACCTTGGGATTATTTATAAGAATGTTCGAATTTTATGATGACACAGACTTTTCACCTACGATATCTTTAGAGGGTAGCTGTTACAGCCATTAGTAAAATCAAATTTTTAGAGAAATTACATATTTGTAACTTTTCATGCAATATGTATAAACACTTGGCTTTAATACTACACATCACTTGCTTGTATTGAGGAAATTGCTTTTGTATTTCTTGTGTCACACATGTTGCACAGTTTTTGATAGATGCAGGGATGCATGTTGAATTCCCCTTCTATTTTTCTGTGACTGTCCAAACTTTAATTCTCGACTGGGCCCTTCAAACTGTTATGTCCCGTGTTTTATGATAAGCTTAACGAGTATGAAGAGAGTCTGAACAAGCTTATTTAATAACAGCAGCTTGTTAAATCTCTAGTTCCATGAAGTTTAATTTTGTTGGTGAAAAACAGTAAACGATCTAGTTCCTTATTTTCTGCATTTTCACTCTCAATCAGAATCTACTCCTTTTAATATCTACAACATCTGTAATTTCTCAGGCTTTGCTACAGTTCTGGAATACAAAATTATGATTGTTCTGAATTTGTTGAGCTTTTCTTTCTCTGTTTTCACCACTCATACACCATATTTTTCAAAACTGTTCACTCACATGCCTGACCTGGGGCAAGGCATGTTGCCTGTCAATTACTCACATTCTCTCCTTCTCTTTCTCTCTTCCTCTCTTTTTTTTTTGCACTGCTTTTCGTATCAGGAGCCTTCAGAGACGGAAATAGGGGACACTTTGCATCTTTCGGCCAAACTTTCATTTCTGTCATAGGTATGCATTGCTCAGCACAGTTTGTACCTTCTTTTACAGCGTTTTTTTTCTTCTGTATATCCTTCATCTGATCGAACTTTGGTCTTTGTTTGTGAATTGTGTTTTATTTCATTCAATCATTGACTGAAAGATTGTTTTGATCTTTGTTTAAAGGGCAAGTCTACTCCAAAAAACAACTTACTTTCAATAGAAGCAGAAAAATCAGACAAACCAATCAGAAAAGTTTCGGAGCAAAATCGGATAACTAATAAGAAAGTTGTGAATTTTGATGACATGAAAAACTTTGAAAATCACAAGATAAATGGGCAACTCACTTGTGAGTCTGTGACGTCATTGCCTCACTATCTGCAAATTGTTTTCTTTTATATTGATAATATAATTTCCAATTTTCCCCCTAAAAATCTTATTTCCTCACACCAGCATTCAAGTTAATATATTGTTAGTAATATATTTTTGTGTGGAAGAATTATTAAATATAGAGTAATTTTTTTCAGTTAGATAATGAAAAATGTGAGGTTTCATAAACTGATTGTGAATATACAATATTCATAAAAAAAGTATAAATTCTTCAAAGTTCATAAAAGATTTTGTGAAACGTCATGCATGCAATATGATACAAATCATATTACCTGGGTAAAGGCATGGGGAAATTAAGTTTTGGGGATTAAAAAAGGTGAATTAATGGGACAAAAGATATATAAAGCAATTTATAAATACCAGTAGTGAGGCAATGACGTCACAAACTCATAACCAAATTGGCAATTAGTGTAGTGATTTTCTAAGTTCCATAGTTATACAGTAGCTTGCGGATGCACCATGTGAGAGAGGGAGGATTGAGGAGTCCTGAAAAGGACTCTCGGTAATCTTTTTTGAGGGAAAGATTACAGAGAGTCTTTTTCAGGACTCCTCAATCCTCCCTCTTTCACATGTCATGGTGCAACCGCAAGCCTACTGTATATCTACATCACCATGCAAGCCGATATCACAAGCAGCATCTAAGTTCCATAGTGTTTCATACTTTTTAAAAACTTCATAACTTCCTTATTAGTTATCAAATTTTACTCAATTCTGTTGTTGCTCTGTTTCTCCAGTTTTTCTGCATCTATTAAAAGCATATTTTGGAGTGGACCTTTAAACACATCAAAGACAAGATACACATAGTGTCTGTCAAGAACAATTTATTTCAAATTTTTTTTAGTATCTTTGTGAAGAATCTACGCTCTTACAATCACTTTGAATCACTGTTTTTTAGAAAGCTGTATGTATTCACGCTAAATTAGATATTGTTATTTTTTCTTCATTTTAAACAACGTTAACTGATGATGCAAATGATTACCATCGATATTTGAAATGAAATATGTAATTTTAATGTACACATGACATGTTTATTCAATTATTTCTATCTTTTTCTTTCACATGCCTAGTGTCATGAAGAAGTGGTAATGCATAGGAGACATTGGATTGCATTGCTAGATCTCAAGGCCCAGCATTTTTTCTACGATAGGAGACCACCCCCCCCCCTCCCCCTCCTCAAAATGGCAATGGTATTTTAATCCCATTCTGTGTTTAACCAATCAACCAGTGTATTGTTCTACATGATGTATAAAACTGAAGTAGAATAGAACATAAAGCTGGAAATAAACAAGGAATGCGATGTCAAGATGTTATCTAAAGTTTTAGCAGAATTTTCAACAAAAAATTATTTCACTTTTTAATTAGATTCTTGTGCAAAGTAGGTGCTTAATATTCGTGCAATAGTGGTATTTTTCTAGATGCTAAAATGTTCCTCTGACAGCTGATATTTATTAAAGAAGTTAATATTTTGTTTGCCAAAGTTATCCAGTTTTAATTTTGATAAATACAAAACATCTGTTTGAAAATGGATGAGAAAAATTTCTAGGTATGCGAATATAGTTCTTAAACTACTGGCAAATGAAATAATTTTGCATAGAAATATTATTTAAGAAATATTTAAAACAAGAAATTAGATTAAAAGGTAGCATGCTCCTGTACATGGAAATGTGCAAATTCGATGTTGGACATGCAAATGGAAAGAGCTCTTTTTGAGAATAACATGACCAAAATTCATTGAATGTTTTTTGTTCAAATTAACCCTTCATGATTATTTTTTAACATTGTAATGTATAATATTATTAAGTTGTACTTGTATTGTTTGTGATGTTGTTATTTTCTGCATGATAGCAATGATGAATATGTGATTTTCACACTGTTATTGTCATTTTGAATTATTATTGTGTCAAGATATTGTAGCAAACAAGAAATTCCAGTGGAACCATTTATCTTTATTTAAACATTTTTCTTTGTTTTATTCCGATCGAAGTACCTGCATTTAAACTTTCAAGAAAGTAAACTTACTATGAAAATGTTTGAAGATTCATGAAGTATGAAAATGGTAACTATATACTAGAATCAAATGGAGGTATCTTACCATTTTAGGGGGCATTCAGCGTTTTGAAGATTACTGTAGCCCAATTATTTGTGAACACCCTCCCTAACTCACAAAATGAATCAGTTATACCCTTAGATTTGGCTCTATGAATGACTGCTACCTGTGATAAGTTTCATATAAACCGTTTAAATTATTAGATCCTTGTCAGTTGAGAAAGGTATTTGGAATTTATTGGAAGAAAACAGATGTGGTTGAATCTAATGTTGTGTTGTAAATATCAGCAACTTGTAAAAATACACAGAAATCATATCTATTTATTACACAGCACTGTATATTGTGTCACATTAACTGAGCAAAGCATATAGATAATTAAAACTTAACATGCTTTGGTAGACATGAGTATCATATTGTTAATGCAAGCATCTGCCGATGACATGATAAGACAGTAATAGACAATCTTGAGAAGCAGTTTGTAGATTTTTGTCTTTCATGAAAGTTTAGATAGTTTGTTTATATCATTTAAACTAAAAAAATGCAGAGTTTGCATTGCCCCTGTTTAAGTCATAATCCAAGTATGAAACATTACAATATATTGCAAGTATGTGACAATTTAGACATATATAAATTATGTTGAAATTTAATTAGAACAAACAAACTAATTTTTAAGTATTCCCATTTAAATCAATCACCTTTACAGTGAAGATTATGTATGACGGCCTGCCTGTATATCTTTTTTAAGAAGAAAAAATATGGGTAGAAAAGAAATCATATACATGTGGTTTGTGTATTTGTCATATATTTTCTTAATAATTATATATTTGCATGTTTTTTATCACTTTTTGTTGATGTTGTTACTTAAATCTGTTAGCACCATACCCATTGTAAAACTGATTAAAAATTTCCAATATGTTCATGTGTACTAAAGCCCAATTATTTAATTTGGTCATGCATATAACGAATATGACTACATTATGTAGAAATTATGTTTACTCTGATAATATATTCAAAAGTAGAATAAAGTGTATATCATGCACTTAAAATAACAAATTTTCTTACTTTTTGAAATCAAGCTCATCATTTTTATTTGACTCATCAAATTTTGATGACTATGTCAATTAAACCAAGAACCTACTAAATATACTTTAGACTGTATTTTTACTTCACTAGGTAGCATTCTTCTGTGTGTTACTAAATTTATATCTTGTAAAAAATAGCTGCTGAAATCACATTTTCTTTTCATCTTGCTGTTTGATTTTCCTATTTTCCAATCATATCGACCAATAGGATTTTATATCTTCCAGGAATTTTTATCTGGATTGTTCAGTTGACAACCTAGTATGCAATACAAAAATATTTAATCACAAAATAGTAGCATTACAGCTGTTTTGCTGAGTGACTTCAATTTTGTTTTATATATATATGCAAGTATTCTTTTTGGTGAGTAAATGGATATTTAAATGTGACAAAATTAAATCTCATGCCGATTCAATTGACCTCAAATTAGAGTTCAATGCCACCGTCAAAATGAGGCGTGTCAAAATAGAAACATTTTATAACCTACATTAAAACAAAAAAAGACAATTAAAAAAAGATATTATTTGGACTTTTTGATCATTAAAAAAACAGAAGAAAAAAGATGGTATATAAACTTTTCAAATGTCCCTCTATTTGGAGGCTTTCCTATATATTTACAGTTAGACCCTTTTTGCTTGTGTTTCATTTTCATAAGTTATGGACATAAATGACAGTTATTTCATACAATGTATACCTGTTAATAAATATTGATACTCTTTCATGTTATATCGCTGTGTTTGGCTCATTCTTTTGTTGTGTTGATAACTTTTTATTTATATATTTAACACGATTCTTTATACATGGAATTAATGAGATAATGTCATGTACATGCAAGAAGGTATGAGGAGGCAGATTCTGGATTCTGTGGCCAGGAGGGGGGGGGGGGGGGGGTGGATGGCAACATAAGTCAGAAAAGTCTGTCAAAAACAACAAGAACATATAATTTTCTTCTTCAAAATTCTCTGACAAGAGACCCCCCCCAAAAAAAAAAAAAGTGTTTAAATTGTTCAGATGCCTTTTGGAATCTAAAACTGCTGTTCTAAGGGCCGGGGCACATTAAGGGGGCATTTCTTTTAGGGGAGGGGGGGGGGTCTTTATTGTGTATATTTAGGTTTGCCAGATTGGATTTTGCTAGGGAACAAAGAAAGTAAGAGAAATAATTGGAGAGGTTATAAGTCGGAAGATGAATGTTTTTTCACATTTCGTAACTTACAAAGAGTCCCGATATATTCATATGAAATTTAAAAAAGACAACGACACATCCCTTTAACAAAAAGCAAATAAATTATAGACTGAGGAAGAGGGGTGGGGGGGGGGGGGTCAATATGAGACCCCTGTCAAAATTAGTGACTACTACATGAGTTGATTCAAACGGTGATCACAATGTTTATGACTACTTTAATACAAATCATTCGCTCCTTGAAAAAACCGAAGTCATCAAAGATGTGACAATTTCATCACCTGTTAAGTGGTGGTGGTGGCCCCAAAGTGAGCTGAAATAAATTAAGTTTGTCTACAAAGTACAAACATACCAAAACCAATAGCTTTCCATAAAAATTAAAATTTCTTAAATGGGGGACCAATAAGACATATTGTATGACATAAGATCACCACCGCTGCCCCCCCCCCAACACTAAAAGGAGAAATTCAAACGAGCATGTTCAACTAAGAAGCCTAAGGGACATAATAATGATATCTAGCAATGTGTTTCTACAAATCAGTCATATTCTAATTCAAAATAACATTTTAATTGTGGCAAATGAAATCCCTTTGTTCTTGAAATGGACATCCTGAAAAAAAACAGCATTAGATTTTAAAAAAGATAGAGAGAATAGGATAGTGCAATGATTGCAGATGATGGTTTGGCTCCTACTTCCTATCTTTGTTGTTGTTGTCTATAAGTTTTGAGGGACAAGCTAAGCTTTAATAAGGTCTCCCCGTCTTTTTTTTCCTCACTTAAATGCATTATATGAACTTGATCCCTAAAAGTGTACCTTTTATACACTCTACATGTTATAGATTTGTTAAATTGTATTACATTCATGTTGGAAGAGAGACAAATAAACTCGAACTTGAACTTGAATCATCTCTCTATTAATCAATAGCCACACAATCGTTCGTTCGTTCGTGTCTCCTTAGATCAAGATAGTTAATATGTAAAGTTCCTTAATTAAAAGTAAATTAAATTAAATTAAGTTCTTCCATCGCCCGATTGCTGCAATGGCCGTTTCATTAACAAGGGCCAGGTCTTCATCTGTGCAACCCGTGCACAGATGAAGACACATCAATGAAGGCCAGGGACAAGTCAGAATATGGAGAGAGAAAGAGATAGAGGAGACAGGGAGAGAATCCGAGAGTGATAGAGAGAGAGAGAGAGAGAGAGAGAGAGAGAGAGAGAGAGAGAGAGAGGGGGGAGGGGGAGACAGGGAGACAGGGAGAAAAAGAGAGAGAAAAGAGAGACAGAGAGCGACATAGAAGGAAGGTAGAGAGAGAGAGAGAGGGAGAAAGCGCGAAAAAACGTGACATACATGTCCCCTCCTATCTTCTCCCTCTCTTTTTATCTGCATTTGACAAACCAGAAGGAACCTCCTCCCCCATGAACTTGGCCTAGGTGTATAACTATTAGGGGAATATGCCCCACCCCCACCTTCCCCAACTTGATGGCGAGTAAGGAAAAACAAACAGAAAAGAAAGAAAAAGAAAGGAACAGGAGAAGGTAACATGGAGGGAAAATGAAGCAACACCATATATTCCTCCCGCCCTTCCCATTCAATGGCCTTGATCGAATGTATTTCATCCACAAGTTGTAAGATCGCCCCCCTCCCCATGACATACCCGACCAATTGCTTGATCGACTTTCATGTATATATATATTTTTAATGGTCAATAAATGAAATGATAATTAATTATGCCCTGCATGGTTGCCCTATCTATTACACTTTCTGAAATATCCGGATTTCGCCGCTATTGAGATGGCAATAACCGTTTTCAAATCATGGTATTAACGTCACTCCTAAAACTTAAAAGATGATGACGTGTAAATGCACGATTATATTTGTTGGAATTTATTTATTCATTTATGTATATATCATAGTTCATTTTATTTCTTCTTTCACAAAAAAGTAACAGGAACAGCAGAATATCAATATGACAAACATAATTTGAAGTGCAATATTAATATTCAACATACAACTTTTGTCATTAACCTAATAAATTCTATAAAAAGTTTCTTATGTATAAAAGATCATGTTCTGTACATGAAAGAAAGAGGAGACCATTTAGAAGCTGGGTTTGTAAGAGCAAGGTCCCCAAACAGAATATAATACCTGAATGCTTTAATTACTTTGAAGGAAAAAAAACTGAACAACTAAACTACTTTATAAGACTAGAAACGAATACACATGGGAAATATTTACAAAAGAGATAGATTGATGTATTTGAAAAGGAGAAAATGGGAAGATATATACAAAAGGATTGAGAGCGAAACGCAAAACGGAAGAAAACAACAACAGAGAACTGAAGTTGAGAAGGAAGAAAATCATATGTAGGGGAAATGGTGATGGGGAAGAAATAGGAGAGAGAGAGAGAGAGAGAGAGAGAGAGAGAGAGAGAGAGAAAAGAAAAAGTACAATTGAGCAAAACAGAACAAAGCGAGTTTGCTACTACATGATGAAATGTTGTTAAAGTAAGATAAGGACCAGCCTGGAAAAGAGGGGGGGGGGGGGGGGGGGGTACAATGAAGCACAACAAAAGTAACATACTATATCATATGTGATGACACAGTTTTTACATTAAATATGTTCAGCATAATGCTTTTAAAAACAGTGACACTGATAGAGCGAGTTACATCAATAGGAAGTGAGTTCCAAAACGAGGGACCAGTACAAGCTAATTTTTTCGAAGTAAAGGCAGTTGCCTGTCTTGTATTATAACTGTAAATTTGACTGTTCTTTTTAAATAATAATATTGTACCAACGCATTTGGGAAAGTACTATTTTCAAAATCATAAATAGATCCTAATTGCAAGAGATATAGATATATTTTACCTTTAATACAAAAATGAAACAAAACATTCCTATGAGCACGATAATTTACATTAAAAACAATTGCAATATTAAAAAGAATTCTAACCCTTCTCTGAGCGAAATGTATCTTATTTAGTTGCGTTTTTAGTGACTTTCCTCATGCCTACACTCCATAATTAAAATAAGGCAAAGAAGAGTATAAAATAAGCAAAATTGCAGTTTGTGGCAGTGGCACAATAGAACGTATTATACACCAGTATTTGTAGACAGAATCTTCTCTGCCTATTACCTTTGAAAACTATGAGAACCTAATATTATTTTTTTTTCTTTTCAGCACATGTAGAATGACTTGTGTCCTCAAGGCTTAAAGAATCCGTTACTGCTTGTCAAATAATTATTATGCAAATAATGAGGTAAAGAAACAAAAAAAGGGAGGAAAGAAAGAAAGAAATAAAAAGCAAGGAATTAAGAAAGACAGGAGAAAAGAAAGAAAGTAAGCAAAAGATTAAATGAAATTGAAAAAAAGGAGAGAAAAAAGGAAACATAGAAGGAAGAAAAATGAGAAAGGAAGGAAATAAATTAAAGGATATAAGAAGGAAGGAAGGAAGGAGAGAGAAAGAATAGAGAAAGAAATAAAAACAGAAAGAAAGATTAGCAAAAGAAAAAAATACGGGAGCAAGAAAAAAAGAAAGGAAAAAAGAAATAATGGAACAAATAAAAGAAAGAACGAAAGAAAGAAAAAAGATAACAGTAAATGAAAAAAAGGAAGAAATATATAGAAACAAAAACAAGATCGCCGCACACGATACGCACCAGAATTGTTATCACTGAAGGGAACGTATTTATTTTATTGACCTGAGAATATGCGTAACACATATCTGATTTGCACCCCCAATGTATGCCCGTGTAGCCGTATTAATTATAATGGAAAAAAATCCGAATCCCGGCTACTGAAGTTTTGCACTTTGCCGCGACTTTTCATCAGGGAATTCAATTATTAACTTGTAAGGTAGGGCATGTTTAGAATTTTATATGACATATAGATAGTTTGGAATGACATTGTATTCTTATTATAACAGGTTCATATTGTAAGATAGAGAGATTCTGATGTCGGTGAACATATTTTTTTGCGAACATGCAAAGCGCAATGCAATGTCTATAGGAATTGTGAATGCGTGAATCACTGTGTCTGCAGTGCGTGCATTGCATTGCAATGGATTGAGTTGGTGATGCGAATGAGTGACTGATGTCTGATGATGTGATAAAGAATGGGACATGTCAATGTAGAGTAAGCCACCCACGTTTTTAATCCCTATTCTTATGATGTAGGCAGGTGTCAAACTATCAAATAAATATCATGAAATGAAATGAGATCGAGAGCTACTCGTTACTCCTTCACCATGTTCACTCAGTTCACTCAGTCCAGTGTTGCGTTTTGTCTGTCAGTCAAAATCACATTCCATTTATTTGTCCATTTTCATTGTCTGTGTCTTTCCATCCCTGACTCTGTTACAGTGTAGACTCTAGGCGTAGTCAATTAGTCGTACTTGTAGACAATGTTGACTGTAGACTTGCAAGCAAATGTTTAACAATAACAGTGTGTGTGTGTCCGAGAATAAGGATCAGCCACATACATACAGGATACAGGATGTCCTCAATTGGACGTAAACATGGACAAATAGCGTCCTGAAAAATAAGGATCGTCTGTACTTTCTCGGACGTTCCTTATTACCGATCCACGCATTGGGGATGCAAAAAAACAGATTCTGCGATAATGCTCCGTGATGCATTTCTCACTTTCGCAGGACAAAGACTTACATGTTATGAATGATAAATCTTCGGGAAGGCGGACAACCCATGAAAGTAGATGGTGAACTGGGGGTATTTTATTATCCATTTTTCACATTGCCAGTGCGCGGATCAGGAAACCTACACCAGCAGAGCGCCGTAGTTTGGAAGAAGGGTCATCGATTTCATGGTTTTGTAGATGTAGATTGATCTGTTTGTGTCCTTTCATAAACGAGTGGACAAACTGTACATTATTCCACAAACTGTACATCATTATCTAAAGTGGTTTTAGTAAAATGCATCTTACGCTATTTTGCAGGACACAAAAGATTACATGTAGGAGATCCCTATCATCGAAGGCAAGATGAGTAGCTCCGAAGAAGTATCGTGGATTTCATGGTTTTGTGGACTCAGAGGAAATGAGTTCTTTTGTGAGGTGAGTCTTTTGTGAGAATTTTTTTTAAAATTTAACTTGTAGGGATGCGTTTCCCAAAACTGTATTAAGTGCAAGTTCCCCCACAGCCCATTGAAACAGATTTATTAATTTAATAGGCCTTTCAATGGAATGTTAGTGAACTTGTACTTATGACGGTTTTGTGAAACGATGCCTTGGTCTCCATATAATATTATATTTTTTGTTGAGTTTGATATTTTTGGATGATTTCATCTACCTCACTAATTATTTCAGGGATGTTTTACTGTCCTTAATGAAATTTATTGAACCTCTTTATAATAAGCCCAGTAATGCCAGTTTTCACGCCTCTAGCGTGATTCCAGACTCTGGCGCTCTCTGCGTTTTTAAAAAACATCAGACAGAATGTATGGGACCAAACCGCCCAACATGATGGATCTCTGTTCAGGTTAATCCATTGCGTACTGGAACCGGGTGGTTCCTATAGTAAACAAAGGGGGATTTGAGAATTCAGAAGTCAATGGTTTAAATGAGTTTCAAAATCAAAGTTCTGGTATATGTGTCCATAATTAATTTATCGGGCAATGGCATTCATACTTCCATGTGTAATATAGACTAGTAATAATAAATGTTTATTTTATTATATAGATCCTTTTCCAGAGGATACAGGGTGCATCTATTTAAATTTTCACTATCTATCTGTTCTTCTCATGTTTCCAGGTGGATGAAGATTACATCCAAGACAAATTCAATCTAACGGGTCTAAATGAACAAGTTCCACATTACCGACAAGCGTTGGACATGATCTTAGATTTAGAACCAGGTGAGAAGCCCAGTGAAACAGTTACCCCATTTAGCCGCAAAGGTAATTACCTTCGGGTAATTTGGCCGGCAGTTATTTTATGTATGTTATTACCAACGAAAAAAAAAGAAGTCAGTCAATCAGACACTAAAGTGTCTGACAGTGAAATCTAGAAAGTAAACAGGTTTCCTTGCATAATTTGAATACTAGGACACTGTTAACGTTAAAAGTTCACAGATAATTATAATTCCTGCAAAGTTCTACAGAGTTTGATGTTGGCTGCTAAAAGAAATACATTACCTTTAATAAGTTATATATATTATTTTGGTAGAGACCAGGAATGTTATTAGGAAAATAGGCACTAAAACCTTATTTGCAACATGTTGAAAGGTTGCAGATTGCTCTTTTTCTTTGAAACTGGTAAATTTGATAAATTTTCATTGCTATTTCTCTTCATGTTTGTCCTTTATTGATACATTACCCTAAAAAAAAAAAGTAGCATTTGAAAATAAATTATGAGTGTTGTCAATGGAGATAAATGAAGTATGTTATTTGAAGGTTTTGAAGGTTTAATCTAGCCATGCTTAATAAGGGTGTATTCAGTGATTTGACTTATGCTTGGCTTTATATTATCCATGACATAGGGTTAGGGTTTGGGTTCGCAAATATGTTTTAGGTTAGCTTTAGAATTAGGGTTCAGTATATTTTTGGGGTCAACAGTTAAAATTAAGAATTTGAGTTATAAATGAGATTGACTGCTGAGTGAGCCAGAGCCTTATCACAGAACTGTGTATGTAATAAAATTGTTTCTTGTTTCTTTGTGCAGATGATGAAATGGAAGAGAATCCCAACCAGAATGACTTGATAGAACAGGCAGCTGAAATGTTATATGGTTTAATACATGCAAGGTTCATCATGACAAATAGAGGCATCGCACTCATGGTAAGTATGGGAAGGCAGAAGGGTGCTTACAAACTTTTTAAATCAAAATTTCAATTATATTTTTGTTTAGTAGTTAATGGATAAAGAATGATAAAGGGAAATTGTATCCACTCACTGTAAACAATTTGTTACGATGTATGAACTGAAAGGTCACACCAAAATTTTCATTTTGATTTCATTCTGTTTCTGTATTTTTGAAATGCATGCCTTTTCCATGCGTTACTATCCCATAGTGCATTCTTGGTTTGAAGTATGCGTTTCAACGTGGAGAAATTAAAGTGGAAACGCAGTGGGAAATTGAAAATTATTGAACATGTCCAACATTTTCTCAGGCCTTTGCATTGTCAATCCGTTTTCCCTAAAAACGAACGGGAAACGAATCGATGTCACTTCGGATCCAATTCAAATCATGCATTCCCAGATGTCAGCTCATTTCACCAGTTATCACATGCAAATGGAAATGTATGGGCTCAACGCATTGGTGTGACCTAGGCATTTATAAGATTGTTATATGCTGTATATCTTTCATAATTGACCTTAACACATTTTGCCTTTGTATAGCATGAATTTAAATTGATTTTGCTGTGAGAAGTATCTACATGTATGTCTAAAATATTCTAAAGTCCAGGACACACAGACTCGCAGTAAGACATGTAGACCTACCAGTAGAATCTCTGCAGAGCATCTGTTACCTTTGAATACAAGCTGGCAACAGACAGATCAGTGACTTGTGAAAGATGAAGGAGAAGTGAAGAGATATCAAAGTATTTTTGTTTTCTGTAACAACTGCATGTGCCTCTCTTGTTCTTTTTCAGCTTGAAAAATATCAACAAGGTGATTTTGGTCACTGTCCCAGAGTGTATTGTGAAAATCAACTTGTTTTACCAATAGGTAAGCAATGCATGTCTGATTTGTTACTGTTTGGATACGCTCTACTTTGATATTGAGTATGGTCATATGAAGGGAGTTAAGTAGAACAGTCTGCATCTTGCTATATCTGATATTGAGATGATTGTTGAAAATTAAGGTTATTTGGTTTTGGATCAATGTTAATGTGGAGTGTAGTTTCATATTTTTATCATGATTAACTGTTCTCCAACTAGTAAAAGTGTTGTGATGTCAATAAAAATATGTTTTGAATATGGATAAATAAAAGAATCTATCTATAAGGCCTAAAAAAAAAAAGTGGTATTGCCCTTTAGGTGCCAAAACATGGGTCGGTCGGTCAGATATCTTTTTTTTTAATACTTTTTTTGTTTTACTCCCTCTTCGGGCCGATATTTCTCAGTTTTGAATGCCTAAATACATTTTTTTCTCTAAAAAACAGTACAAATTTTTTCTTCTTCAAGAAGCCGACCATAGATTTCAAGATTTTGGGTCGGTCGCCAAGGGCAATACAACACCTTATTTTTTTAGGCTGAATGTCGCCTCATTGACTGTCTCTAATTTATCAACATGGATGAACTCTTTAAAGACTGTCTCAGTCTTTAAAGAGTTCATCCATGTTGATAAATTAGAGAATACATGACACGTTGACCATCTCTTTTCCTTCACTACCTGGTCCACACCTGACTCTCTACTCTACAGGTTTGTCGGACGTCCCGGGCGAAGCCATGGTCAAGCTCTATTGCCCCAAATGTCAAGACGTGTACACCCCCAAGTCATCCCGACACCACCACACCGACGGCGCCTACTTCGGTACCGGTTTCCCACACATGTTCTTCATGGTGCACCCGGAGTACCGTCCAAAGCGCCCACCCAACCAGTTTGTACCAAGGTTAGTATTTGTTTGTTTGTTTGGATTAGCTGTGTGTAAGGTCTGCTCTTCAAACCGAGGTCTGTTCCCCATAAAAAAAAAGAACCAATCAACAAAAAATAATAAAAAAACAAATCAAAGGAGAACAAATATTTAACCATAATTTTGCAGTGACATGCAGGCGATTTGGAAGTTATTTTTTGTGCAGTGGTGAGATTTAAAATACTAATCTTCAAAAGATATAATTATGGAATATGGTTGCAAAATACTAGTGAAGACGATTGTCCTTTGAAGGAATTATGTTGCGTTCTAATGCCTCCACAAGTACTTAGTTGTTGACGTCAGCATAATGAAGACAATTTTTTTTTGGAAAACTGTCTGTAATTGTTCTTGTTATTTGTCATATTAAAATTAATTTTATGAGCAAATTGTGCCTCAAAATTTTGTTTCATGTTGAAAAAAATCTACTCTTAATTGTGGAACATTTCTTTCATCAGTAGTGTATTGCATTCAGTGAGCCCCAGTCGTTGCAGAGCAGACCTCTCATTTTCGCTTTGTGTAAATGTTTTCAAAATACAAGTGGTGTAAATGGATTGCAATGTTCAAACATTCCTTACTGAAATAGTAGTTGACATTTTATAGGGACATTTCTAAATTAAACATTTTAATAACATTAGATTCCTTATTTATTTTGGACCGAATACACAGCTTTTAAAAATTCTGTATCAGTTTGTTTGATTGAAAGGATTCAAGACCTTTTCATTAATGAGGTTTAAACAGATGAGAAAAACAAAACACCAACACCGGTGTACTCTTTTTTTTTTTTTTCTTCTTCAAAGAGGGATGTACTATTAAAATTCATAAATCAAATAACATCAATCCAGTTTTTGTATGAGCTTTATTTGGTGCATGTTTCATACAAATATTAAAAGATACTCAATTAAATGTGTTTATATGTACGTTACATGAATGGGAGTGTTCACATTGTAATTTAACCATGCATTGGTCGCATGGATAGTGCCTTGTCTTAACCACATATCAAGCGCAAGTATGAATGTACCTGTACGTTTTTAATGAAGTGCACATACAATCCTATTCACATACAAGTGTATGACACTTTTTTGTGTGTATTGAAATCGTTGTATAGATATTTATATACACATATATTTTTTTCTCAATGCATTCTTGTTGTGTAGTATTTGATTAACAACTCATTTCCTGGTTTTTGGAGCTTCTATGGAATGGGCATGAAAATTTGAAGATTAATGTCTCTAATACTCATTTTTATGCCATAATTTTTTCATAAAACCTTTGTTGAAAAGGGGTGTTTACTTCCTTTGATTCAAACATTGGCTAATATATTTATTTCATTTCATTTTCAGTGTGAAGGCTATTTATTTTTTAGTGTGAAGGCTATTTATTATCATACTATTCTTGTTTAATAATATGGGGCCTTATATGGGCATTCCTTTTTCTATTGCTATTGGCCACCTCATTGGACTTGACTTATTTTCTTCTCTATCAAGTGTAGGAAGTTGATGCCCCATCAATTTGCATGTAAACATGTTTGATGAATGAATAGACACTTGATCACTTAAATTTTAGTCTACCTCCCTCTATGTCTAACCGAAGAGTTTTATCCTTTTATATATATAGGTCTTGGCCGGATATTCACTTGTTCTCTTTGACCCTCCCAGCTTAACACTTGCTTTATTTCCTCCAAATTTTAAACATAATAGATTCATGTTTGTTAAGTGCCTAACATATTGTATTTGTGGAAGATTTCCCTTCTCTTTTCAATATCTAAACTTTGAACATGATTTTCAATAAAAAGGAATCTGAAAGTACATGCTTTTGTTAAAGACACTATGTCCCTTTTGCAGCCAACCTCAAATTCTGTAGAACTCTATAGCTCCTAAGTCGATTCAACGACTAATAGTCATTATTTTGCCACTTAAAGACATTTTTAAGCCCCCTTCTCTTTAGGGAAGTTCTAAATTAATATTATCTTTCAAATGCCGTTGGATTTTAACCTTTTCATTTTTTTGGCCTGCAAATGGGACATAGTACCTTTAAACCAAAACTTTCAGCAGACAACACTTTGCAATTTTTTTGTTCTGCCTTGTCTGCTTGCAAAATGCAAGGAAATTCTGTGAATGGCAAAATTTCATGTTTGCGTTTCTTTGATATTTAATGGCATGAAAATTTTTTGCAAATCTGGATCACTGCAAAGTTTGCATAATTTCTTGGCGGGTGTCACAGTCCAATTCCCTCTACTGCATATATATATATATATATATATATATATATATAGCAATATACATTCGCATAATGCATTGTGCCTCCAATACCTCAGCTACTTTTTTTGTAGACACACTAACTTCCGGTGATTCTAAAACACATATTCTGCTGTACAAGGATATGCTAGTGATTCATTATCTGCAATTTTTAATCTTGCTGGATAGTTACACATTTTGAAAATTTCACAAGCAGTAAGCATATTTATTAGTTTAAAAGTAATATAACAGCGTTGGCAAACGCCAGGGCTCTGAGAAATTCTTGGCACTCTGCAACACAAGTGGCTTCTTTTCCCAAGCCATAGTTGTGTGTTATTGTCAGTAATTTTTAAGAATTTTTCCGTAATATTCAGCATGGTCACATATTTGAAGAAACCAAAGGCCTACAATTTAACAAACTTGCCATCAGACATTTAGGTAAAACTAAACTTAGTCCTATGGACAGTGAAGTGTGAGTCAAATAGTGTGGCCTGTTTTGACAAATTTGCGAGTAAAAATAGAGCGCCACTTCAGTTGAATTTTGATTAGCCTTGTTTCGGCTTTGCAGTCTGCATTTTATATTCCTCCCGCTGTGTTCGAGCATCAGGCCATATTAACGTATTTGTGCATTTTCATCTGCATGAAAAATGTATTGTTTTGTCTCTAGCTCATGTTTTTGTTTTTCTCACTACTAACACTTGTATCTTTCTCCCTCTCTTTGATTGTATTTATCAAGAGAACATCAGGATATGTGTTACTAATGTTGCTGTTGATGTATCCTTGTTATTCCTTCCATCTTTCCTTATTAAAGATATAGCTGGTGTGCCACAAGGCTGAGAATGTAACCTTTAATCTTCGTCTAACACGTTTCCTCTTCATCTAATCAGCATGCAACTAAACCTAACTCTTTCATGTTTTAACAGCTGTTCATCATTGTCTCTTTTATCTAATCTAACAATTTAGTTGCAGGGCATCACCTAAAGCCAACATTTTTTTTCTTTCTTTTTTTCATCCTTCCTCCCACCTGATTCCGTGTGACTCTTCTCTGTCCGTCCCTATCCCACGTCTCTTCTTTCTTTGTGTTTTTTGTGCATCATCTCTCCCTAGACTCTACGGCTTCAAGATCCATCCTCTCGCTTACGAATTTCAGTACCAAGCGGCGTCACGCACCCGCTACAACGCCCGCCCGTCCAGCAACCCCAAGAAATAACCATTTCCTAATTGCGCCCTCTATGCCACCGTTCTCCCACCATCCATCCAAAAGCTCTGCGGTGGATGAGGGACTTCGCTGCCCAGATAAATTTAAATCTCAACGTGTGAGTGATTTTATGTGTAGACAGGGAGTGTGTAGGGATATTCATGGTTATCAAATTTTTTTCTTGTGTTTTTGTCTACTATTTCCTCTTCGCTCCGTTTCTACGTGGTATTTATACAGGTTATACGGATTCAAGATTCATCCACAAGCGTACGAGATACAGCTCCAAGCTGCCGCCGCACGCAGCCGTTCCTCCACCAGTCGCCAACGTTCCGCTAAACCACAATACAAATAAATAGCGCCCCCTCCTGCATGCACAGAGATTCAACCTTCCGCTGCAATTCGGGTTCTATGTCAAGAGATAATATTCCAAGGACTTTGAAACCTATGAAATAATCTTTGCCTCTTGAGGCGTACTTTAACATCAAGGTGATTATGAATACTACACAGTCTGCACATATGGGGAAGTATATCCAGTTCAATTTCATCTATTTTCACTAGAAAAACCCTTTATACTGCCATTCACAATGCAGACACGAACATTTCGCCTATACCAAAATGGCTGTGATATTGACCTTGCAAGAACATGTTCTCATGTTCTAGAGCTAATGCCATCAATTAAAAAAAGATTTTTTTTTTTTATTTATGTTTATAAAGTGATTCTGCTATCTGACTTTTACAAAGCGTACAATGCACTTCACAGGAATGTTAAAAAAATTTTTTTTAAAACATTTAAAAGAAGATTTTTTTGCGAGTGAATGTAAGAATTTAGAAATACTTTGTAAATCTGTCTATGACTTTTAACTTATAGTTTATTAGTTTCAAGGCCATGCCATGAAATAAAATGAAGGATCTAGAGAATTGAAATACTTGTAGAATCTGTCTAGATGGATGTGACTACCATACATATTTCCATCATCCCTGAGAGCCACTTGCCTCAATACACGTACATGTAGCTGAAAACTAAGACATTGGTAGTTTAAAGTACATTTGACTAGATGGTGAATTCTATGAATCATAAAACATGATAGTACTTTTGACCAACTGAGGTGTATACTTGGCTAGATACTTGTAGCTGCTGACTTTCAAATTGTTTTTGGATAGTTTTGAATGTCATAGATCATCGTTGACAAGGGAAAAAAATATAGCAGATAACAATTCACGTCTGTGTTTAGATTCTAGTTTACAATTTACAGAATGCAACCAAAATTACTTTTTACCACACAATTCTGGCTGCTTTGTAATTGATACATATATGTATATAATTTTATGTTTGAAAGGTGGTATATTTTATATGTGTGAACTGTGAAGGAATTTTGTCACAAGAGAAGGCTGCTTAAAACTTTAAAAGTTATGAAAAATCAGTAAATGTTACATTTTACTCTATCATTCGAATGTTCTGTTACATATACAATGTAGATACAAAATTGGACATTGAATGTTAGACATTTATTGAAAGGCGTATTATTTTGGGGGTACCTAACATTTGTACCTTTATACAATTGACACCATTTTTTTCACATGTTGATTTTAGAAAGTGAAAAGTCTGACTTAATATGAACATTACTAGTGTACAACCCATATTATAAAGCATTTCTTTTTTTGGAGGCAATCATTGACGATACAAAAACATATTTGTGTTATTTTTATATTTCTGTTCCGACTTGAATAGTCTTGATACTGTCTTGTATTTTTGGCACAATTTTGTTAGTAAATTTATCAAATTATTTCAATGTTGAAATGAGACTTTGTTAACGGCAAATCATAGCATGTGAAAATGCTATAAATTAGAAGCGATAAAAATGAATTGTTTCGCGATATTATATTTGTTAGTGCCCCATATTCACAAGGAACAAATGTTGGATAATGACTTTTATTCATAGTGTAAAAAAAACTTTATTAAATACTGGCTTCATGCACACTTTTTGTTTTCTTTTCAAACGCTTTTGCTGTCTTTTCTATACAATAGTCTGTACTGGTGTCATGGTTATTGTATACAGAGTCAGACATTTATGATAGCCACCTCTGTACAAAGGTAACCAGACTTCAGTGGTCACTGTTTGCACTCAAGAGACTACATACGTATTGAAAGACGTTTCTATATGGACCTCTTATCTACAGAGCAAGTTATTGCGTTCCTATTTGGGGGGCATTAATTTTCTTTTTCTTTTCTTCATATGAATCTCTCTTTCTCCTCTCTTACTTACTCTCCCCCTCTTCCTACCCCCCCCTCTCTCTCTCTCTCTCTTACTCACTTTCCCTCCCCTCTATTATTTTTTACAAGTAACAGAATTCAGGAGGTTTATGTGTCTGTTTGAAATCCACGATACATACATGTACATCTGTAAAACAACGAATTATACATGTGAATAGAAGAAAGAAAACTTTCTCCATATTTCTTTTTTTTTTTACAGGTATTTAAGTTTCTTCCTAGCAGTGTCAATGTAGATACTAATTGCTAATGACTTGGTACTTTCTAGCGACAAATGGGCATCCTAAAATATGAAGCTGTATGGACATTTCCATGTACTATGCGTTGTACCCCCACCCTAAGAATTTCAACTAGAAACGTAATTGGAGCTTTTCTCTCTACTCCTTTAAAGTCCCTTGGGGGCTGGTATGAGCATCAAGTTTAACATGAATTTTCTTGCTTCACCTTGTTTGTTGTTGAAATTTTTATCATCAGACATGTTGACTGTGTATGTTTAACCCTACAGTATTTCCTATTACACATCTTTCTTTGTCTTTTATATCAAGTTAATCATTGCAGTATACATGCATTTCAAATACGGCTAACATACAGTTTTCTAGCCACAGAAATACGTATAGATTGCAGGTAAAGGGTTTTTATTAACAATACTTGTAAAATGACACAATACCTGAATTAGCTAACCATCTAACCCCAAAAATTGGGTATACATGTAGTTTGCATCAGGTGTGCTTGTACAAAGGATATCTGCTGCTGCAAATCCAATTTTCGAGCATTTATCATTGTGTGATTTTACCTGGTATATCATAAACTTTGCAAAAACATTTTTCAAAGGCATTATTTTGGGTTGTACAGTGCAGAACTTGAAATCTGATTCAGAACTCTAGTATTAGAGCTAATTTGATTGCTCTGTATGTGTTCTACCGGTATGTCTAAAATGAGTGTTATTACCAATATATTGTAAATCTATTTACTTTCTTTAATAGAGCAATTACTGCTGGATATTTTTCCAATTTTTGTGACCCTCTCTACATGTATGTTGTTGGCTGCCTGCAAGAGGGTCGTTAGAAGTAGAAACAATTATTGTCAATGGCATTATTAGCCTTCTTGCAGGTAACCAGCGATATTTGATGTTCACCCAAAACCTTTAATAAACATAACTTAATTAATCTCCTTTGCCAGAGTAACTGTGTTTCATGATTCAATGATATAACATCTTGAAATGATTAATAATGTTTTCAATAGCCAGTATATGGTTAGATAGCAAGAGTGGGACAGATGCTTTGTTATTAGGGAAATTCTTGAACATTTTTATTTAAAGCTAACCCTTTGATTGTTAATAATAGCATTTTAATGAATGTGTCAGGCTTTTGGCAATAGCTTCCTCAAAGGTATGTACCTTAATGATTGATGTACAGAGTACACGTATGTATTTTCATTTCTTTTTGCATAATAAACATTGAATGTAAAAATATAGCAGATATGGGTAAACATATACATATCATCTACTCATTGAAATGTCCTTTTCGTACATTTATGTCATTTTTTCTTTTCATGTATTATAATGCATGTATGGGAGGACTTTTTTCTTCTAAACATGTTTAATTTTTTCTAAACATTATTCATATACATGTATCAAAGGATAGTTTTTTCTATACATGTATTTGAATGAATGCATGTAAACTAAAGGAAAAATCATTTCATAATCATTGCTCTGATTATTATCATTAGAAATTGTGTTTATTCCTCTTTGAAAAGATACCATATTTGTCATGATTTGGCATCCATGGAGTGAGCAGTACATCAGAATAGGGGGCAGGGTCAAAAGGGAACAATTGCCAAATTTAGAAAGGAATAAACCCTCTTTTTAATGATACTAAACACAGCGATAATTATGTAATACTCAAGTTTTTTTTGAGGAGTTTGGAATGATGAGCGCTCTCTTAAACATATTTGTCAGGTACTAGTCTGCCAAGCAATAAAGGTCTGTTGTGTTTCTCTCGATTTTAAACAAATCATTATTGCTTGGTCGGATTTCTGTATAGAGTATTAAGAATGGACTGGTATTCACTTCAATACTGAAGTCGGAAATATCAATAATTACTCAGTTTTGGAGCGAAGATAAACAAATGTTTAGCCAACTTTTGCGTTCAGTTGTGGTTTTCATTTGCAGTCACCATAAGCTGCGCATAATTACGTTAGCACACACTTTAATGCGACATGTGGTATTATGCTTAATTTTGGATTAGCTAAGTGATGTAGCAGTGCAGCCATCAGTAAGCATTTTACCTGATTTTTGGGTTACTTAAGTAAAATACATGTACCGGTATTCAGATCTAATCTGAATATTAAAGACTTGAGTCATTTTACTTAGCTAAGCTAAATACTAAGTAAAATACTGACACATAGTTCAAGTATTGAAGTGGAAACGGGCCCTGGTCTCTCCTTCTTATTGATAGCACAACTTATTATTATGTTAGTACATGTATTATAAATTATGTATGAGCATCTTGTCAGTGTACTGAATAAATTGACATGTTCGTGAGGAGACATTGTAATGTAATTTGTCGTCATTTCTGCAACTCTTTTGGCTCGTTCAGAAACGACGCCGTAAACTGCCGCAAAAAAAATATGTGTAAATGAATGGCAACTGTTGAAAAGTTAAAGGGTTAAAGGAAAAGCCAAGTTCTGGTCTCATGAAAGAAACCGTCTGGAAAAGATTGACCATATACATGTAGCACAGAAGTATTGGTGTATACTGTGAGGTTTTGGAATCGTCAAAATAAGAAATTGACCCAGTTCTGCTAAAGGTAACATGCACTCAGGATGTAAGATTACACAAGCATTGGCATGAAAGTGTGGTCCACAACCGTTGGCTGTTACTTGTCGTACTTTGAATATGAGGGCATTTGAAGAGCCATCCTTTTGAGATGACATATTTTCTATGATACTCTTTGACACCTTTCCCAGAACTCGACCTTCTCTTAAGTTATATCCCTTGAAATACAAATCATAAACCCAGAGTTGGGTGTATTTGAATCAGTAGAATACAGACTGAAGGGTTCATAAAAGACTACCGTATTAATACATACATTTTTTTAAAAGAAAATTTTATTCCCATTGACATAGAAATATTCATGGAATTGCTTACAAATAACAAATACAATGTACATAATATTCCAATATTCTTATCCTCAACAACACATCATACACTGGGGGACAAAATTGATAAAGTATTGTGTGCACAAATTCAATATGATTTCTTATGTCACTTACATGCTTAGTTGAAGTACAACTAATAATCTAAATGCACATTTATTTCTAATTCTCAAATATTTAGACTTTCTATTACTCATATTTATATTTCCTGTAAAGAAGATTTACAATAATGCATAATCGATTGATTGCATGCACGTATCACTTTTGTCTTGAAACTAAAATTTAACTGGAACTAGATAAATAAAATATTTTTAGACAAGAGAATAAATTCACATGTTTTAGTGAACATTACAATAATACAGGATAGTCAGTCACCATGGCAATATAACACCCTTGTTTTTTTTTTATTTTGTCAACAAATGACCTTTGATTTGATGTATACACCATTGGCAGTAAAAGAATGATTTTCATTGCTCCTCCCCCTTTCCTCTCCCTCCCCTCCAGGAATGGATATTCAAAGCGTACATGTTTGGAGATAGACTAGATGGCACTTTGACTGTCGAAAATGATGCCTCCGCATTAGAGCAATTTTACAAACCAAAACGGAAGCAACTTTTAAAATTCAAGTTTGATTGCAATCCATCTGTCGTCTTTAATAATGCATTCACAAGCTATTTTTAGGCATTCTTAATGAGCTCCATGACCTTTGACCTGATGACCTTAAAATCTAATCAGTTCATTGGCTCTGCAAGATACATGCCTTGAGTTTGATAGTAATCTGTCTTGGTTCTCATGATAATGTGATCACAAGCTATTAATCCAGTGGCTGTTGCTTTGCTTTCAAAAACATGAGGGTTGTCCAGAGAAACTTTTATTTTAAAAGTATATAGAAAATTTAACAGGACTATTATACATCTACACAGAAATTCCTTACAGGTTTCACAGTCTAGCCTAAATCTTATTCATATTTCTTAAACATCCATTTTCCAAAATGCATATAAGAGCTAGAAAGTAAACATAAGTCACATGTACCCAATAATCTGGAACATATAGTGCTTGCAGCAGAATACAATTAAAAAAAAAGAAAATCCTAATTTGGACACTAGATACTGAACTACTTGGCACCGGCCACAAGGGACTATATTCTTTCCATACACAATTTAACAAAAAACGATTGTTGCCCTTTAACTTATTCATCATAATCTTAACATGAAAATTTGAGGAGCTCAGTAAAGATGAAGTTGAGTTGTGGTCATGTGATTGCATTGTGAAAGAAACGGTGTGGAATCCATCAGAAAAGGTTGATCATCTAGTATTTAAGTATTTGTGTGTATTGCAAGGTTCTGGAATCATCAAAATGATAAGAAATTTGGCCAAATCTTGGCAAAGTTACAAGCACTGTACACAGAATGATGTATATGGGACTACACGAGCACATGGCGAAAAAAACCTACCCCGGATTTTTACGATGTTTCATGTCATATTTAGAATATGAAGGCATTTGAAGAGCCATGCTTTTCAGGGAACATGTTTAATCTGATGTTCTTCCACCCTTGCATAATAACAATGATAACGCTCACAAATAATTTTTTACCTCTTCCCAGAACTCAACCTTCTCTTTAATCATTTCATTCTTAAAATGAATTGAAATATATTATGAACAACATCTTTTGCAGAGAGAACGGGGGGAAAATGGATTCATACTTGCCTAAATAAGGAATACTACCTACAAGTAAGTCAGCATAAGGGGCGCCCTAGGCAAAAAGCAAGGAAATATATTGTCTGGCTCTTGACCCTCTTTCAGACAATAGCAAATTTGCTCACAACCATTAAATTGTAATCAATTTCACTAACTTACCTACTTGTTATTATTGCAAACAAGTTTGATGAAATAGGGCCCAGGGAACCGTCTCATGAAGCTGTTTTAAGTACAAGTTCACAGACATCCCATTGAAACAAGTATTTAAAAAAAAATAAACAAATTGTGTATTAGAATTTAACTTGTCTACTGGAACCAAGTGGTTTCTGTAGTATACCTATAGGGAATATGACAATTCGGTAGGCGATGGGTCATCACACGTTTCAATGGGTGTCAGTGAACTCGTACTTAAGACGGTTTCGAACCACGATGCCCTGCGGGACGTTTCACAAAACATGTCATCAGTGACAAATGACAATTTGTGTTATAAGCTACTGAAATCCTTGCTTCTGATTGGTTATCAGCAGATTTGTCACTGATATTTGTCATTTGTCATTGAAAAAAGGATTTGTGAAACAGGTTCCTAATCTATCACTTCCACCATCCACTGTGAATTCCTCAAGCTGTCCTGAGGATGATGTGTATGCCGGAGTCTGTGAAAACTGGGTCACTCATCTGGCCGACCTCGAGTTTGAAAGAGGCTTCCTCAAAGGGCTTCTGCATCTGGTTACGGCCAAAGAATCCGAGATCGCCCTTCTTGTGCGCCGAGCTGCAGTCGCTTTCCGTACTGGCTAGGTCTCCTAATGTGACGTCCCCTGCAACTATCTTCGCTCTATGACCTGAAAAGAGAGGCAGAAAGGATAAAGAGTCAAACATGCTTTAGCGATCACCTACATAGATAGACAACCTGTCTATAAAAAACTATAGTTTGGTTTCCCTTGAAGATTTCTTTCTCATCAAAACCTGCCTACAAAGATCGCACTCTGTTCATGGTATACTCACTATCCTGTACAAACTTACCAAATTGGAAAGAAACTTCAAACTTTCTTCAAAAGTAGCTACACAAATTGTAAATAATGAGTACTTTAAACTTATTGCAAACAAATTGGAAAAGGTTGACAATTATGCTTTTATTGCTTTTAACCCTTACTGTACTGGGCTATTTTGAGCACCTCGTGACTGGGGGGGGGGGGGGGGGGGGGGGGCCTGTGAGCCTATGATCTCGGCCGTCGATAGTCCGATGAACACAAAAATTTGCATGTATGTAGATATTTACGTAAGGAACAAGATGGCATAATTAGTTTTTTCGTAATATGCAAATTTTTGTTGTTATAGCCTAATTAATTATGCAAAATGCTAATTTTATGCATTTTACAGAAAACTCTACATTTTTGTATGTAGACTTGTGAAGAATCTTGAAAATGTATTGAATAAATCTCAAATTCATGAGGTTACATTATTTTTATGATATTTGAAAATGCATAGGTTAATTTGCATAAATTATGAATACGCATTCATGAATATCAAAATCTGGAAATATACAGGGAACTAGAGTCATTACAAAAATTGTCAGACTCCACTTTTTGAATGTTAATTGAAACTCATTATTCATATGAAACTTCTTTTTTAACACAAAATAGTTATTTTGATGCGATTTTCAAATTTTTATTTTCTTTTGTATTTTATTGTTTTTTAATTCTTATTATATCTATTGTTTTATTTTTAATGTATTCAAAAACTTAATGTTTTGTTCTGGAATACATCAAGTTACTTTGAGAAACATATAAAAGCAATTTGATATCAAGTCATATCTCCTACTTAGGAAGAAATACATCTGAACCTGTATTCACATTTCTGCTTGTACATGAATATATGCAATTATAGCATATTTTTTATGACATGCGCATACTAATTGGTATGTAACAACTTACAGGTATATCAGGCCTTAAATTTCAATATTTTTAGGGCAAGGCCACTTTTCTGTAGGGCATATTGCTATATTACAGCACAAATAGGAAGAATTGGAAAGGGCACAAAAAATCTCCAAGAGGCATTGAGGCCAATCAAAGGGGCATCCACGGCCATGGCCTTGGTGGCCTTGGATTAATTTAAGCCCTGGGTATATCCGGTATCAAAATGTGCGTAAGACTTGAGGGAAAAAAGTCAAGAAATGACAATTCAAAATTCCAAGCGGTTGCGGCGCAATCTCCAAAAATGTTCGAGGGGGGGGGGGGGGGGCCTCCCAGGCCCCCCCCCCCCCCCAGTACAGTAAGGGTTAAAGGTGTCATGGTGGAGTAGATAGCCATCGGACCGCATGGTTCGTGGTTCAAGTCCTGCTGGGGCACCAGTGTCCTTTGGCAAGACACTAATCTACATTTTCTAGTCTCCACACTGGTGTAGTAAATGGGTACCTGGCAGGTATTTATGCCTTATTGCTGCTTATAGCACCTTAGGGCAGCTGGGCTATAGCCAGGCAAATAAAAGTAATTTGCATGCAACTTGGGCTTCACCTGAAAAATGTAGCTATCATTATCATTATTATCACAATATTCAAGAAAAATGAAATAATATGGAGATTAATATATTCCAATAGAAATTTGTCAGGGATGGCTTGCAAAATTGTATTGAGTAACATACTACCCTGCAAGAACCAGACAAAAGTGGACTCAAATTATCAAATTGTTTGCCCTTCAAACTCTAGCAGTAAATATTCTAAATACTGGTATTCTATTATCGTAGAACAATCGATCACATTTTAACAGAGCAAAGAGATAAAAAGTAGAAACAAGGGAAACGCTCTCGGCGGTCTCGCCTGCATTACGCAATTCAATATGATGAAAAATTGAGGTTGGGACATAATTCATAGGCAGGGTGGCCCATTAGTAGGCCCCCCCTCCCCCATGAAATCCTCTGAATATAATCAGCATTTTTAAGTAAATATATTGACCCAAGAGTCATTGGAAGAATTATTTACTATAATTTGTACCAATATTAATAACTTTAATGGAACATGAAAAAATAACAATTTTTTAAAATCCTCATAAACTGACCTAAAATGACCTTTGACCTTGACTTTGTGACCTGGAATTTGCGTCATAAGATTTGTGATACTTGATAACCCGTGTGTACAAGTTTCATGGAATTTGAACAAAAACTTTTGAAATTATGCTAAAATTTCAAAATCTTGATGTTGATGCCACAAAAGAGTCTAAGTTTGTTGACATGAAATGACCTTTGACCTTAATTTAGAGACCTAAATTCTACTCACATGATTGGAGATACTTGATAACCCTTTAGTGTAAGTTTCATTGAATAAGAACTTATACTTTCAAAATTATGTTAAAAATTCAAAACTTAACCTGAGGTTAAGTTTTCGATGATGATGCCACAACATAGTCTAAGTCTGTTGACCTGAAATGACCTTTGACCCTGATTTTGTGACCTGAAATTCTGCTCACATGATTGGGAATACTTGATAACCCTTTAGTTCAAGTTTCATTGAATGAGAACTTATACTTTCAAAATTATAATAAAAAAGTTTTTGATGTTGACGCCGCCGCCGCCGCCGCCACTGCCGCCACCGCTGCCACCGCCGTCGTCACCAGAAAACCAGCGCCTATGTCTCGATTTTTGCTACGCAGGCGAGACAAAAATGAAAGAAAGAAAAGGTCTTTGATGTACCAGGAGTCCGAAAATTGATGGGAAACTTACATTAACTTGGGACTTACTTGGTGGATGAGATAAGAATTAGCAATCAATTCCTTCCTTTTTTATCAGTGTAAAAAAAAATAAAAAATTTGGGGGTTGTCTTTTGATGGGGCAGGAAATTCGCCCCCTCCCCCAGTAGCTATGCCTCTGGTCGAGGAGGAAAATGGATACTAACCTTTGAGTATCTGAAGAGCGTCGTCTTTCGTCCGAGTGATCCTGTCATCTTTCCAGGAGGCTGGTCTTCTGGAATCTCTGTGTTTCACTAGGAGATGGGAACAACGTACTTTGCCTGCTGGAGGGCCCTCAGGTTTGTCCCATCGACTTTCCTTTGAAGCCATGTTATAGTAGTAAGGTTGACCTGCATGTATTGAATGGATTAAAAAACAACAACAAGGATTTAATAAAACCAAGATGGCAGGAATGTGCAAAAATAAAAGCAGCCAGGGGATGTTTCATCAACTAAAATTGATTTCGATTTTAAGGCTGAGTGATATCAAATCAATTTGAAGCTAAAATTGATTTTATTTATTGCATAAAACCGCTCCTAAAATTGAAATCAATTTTAAGATTGATCTTAGGGTTTAGTGAAACACCCCCCTGGATACAGTTATAACATGACAAGAGAAAGAGGGGGACAGGGATAGTGAGAGAGCGAAGCGAGCGAGCCAAAATTTGAGCTTATGTATGTTGTGAAAGTGTTATTTATCACCAAAATATACGAGATAGGATATTTAAAAAAAAACTATTCGGGCAGCTCGAATATTGGTAATTTTTTAATTTTCGGGGAAAGGCTGCAACCCCATCCCGCATTAACTGCAGGTGTTATGAAATGAAATTTGAATCCTTGTGGAGTACATATAGAAACCGCTTGTACCATGATTGCAATGAAAACTTCTATTTATTTGGAAGTCCAGAACAATTAAATTCCTGTGGTACTATATTTGTTTTACATGACTGTCATTTTCTTTACAAATTGATTTTCATGAATGACGTTATCACTCCTGTTTGCTTTCACAATACCAACGTGCTCATATTACTCAGTATTCCATATGAATACAATACAAATATAAGTCTCTTTTTTGTACAAACCATGTTAAGAAGCAAAGCCGTCGATTCTTTTTCATTGTTTGGGATGATATGAATTATCTTAGTTCAAAATGCTTTATAGGATACACAGCCCAGATATTATCAGAGGCTACTGCGCAAGTACTATTCTGATTCAGGCCCTATACTATTTTGTAAGATTCAAATAATAGTTATAACCTATGAAACAATCATGTGAGAGCACACAAGTACAAAATGAAAGGGAAAATACAGGATCTATTAAACCTTCCCATAATACAAGTATCTGCACATTTATATTATGTAGGAATCTTAGATAAATACAGTGGTCTTATAATGGAGGATATAGTAAATAATGTAGTTTTGCTCGGCTGAAAGCTATCCGTGATGACATGTAGCAGATGTATATTAGATATTAAACCAAATCCTTTTCAGCAACCGTTTGTATTTGTTTTTACTGAAAAAAACTAGGGAATTCTGGACAGGGGTAATTGCAAGGGTATCATAGTTTTCGTTTTATTGGGCGAGGGAGCGTAGTGACCAAGCAAGATTTTGCCATTTTGAATGCTGAAATTACGCATTCTAGAAAATGCCAAAGCCAATATTTCCTTCTAAAGACATACAAAATAATGTGCCCTTCTCAAATTTCTCACCAAAGAGTGATGACTGTTGTAGCGCAGGGGTGTTTTTAACGTTTAACTTTGAATCCATGGCTCAGGATTTATGCGACCGGCCCCCTCTATTCAATAACGTCTCCCAAGCCTTCTGGAATGATTCCCAATCTCCTCATTACAATTGTGCTCCTCTTTGTGAGCTTTATCATGAGTGCCTTTACATGAACCTTGTTTCGATAATAAATGCTGGATTCCGACTAGTGCTGTAGCCAAACCGACGAACCGAACGGAAGTTCGCCGCACATGGCACTTCCGAACCGAACTGAACCGAACCGAACGCAAAGGCCTGGTTCGGATGTTCGGCAGAAAAATGTAAACGTTTTTGCAAGCTAATAAACTTGTCATTTTGTACCTAATTTTCATGTCATGATTGCTCATTTTATATTTACTTTTTTTTCCATTTTCCGCCTTTGTGATTTATGCCTATCCAGTGGTGGGCGCGACTTCACTGGCGCCATTTAAATCCCAAATCCTGACAATGCTAAGTCGCGATCGCAATGCATAAACAAGAATACATGTGCGTGATCAAAACATGGTCAGCTCAAACCCATTCAACAAAAAAATAATATTTTAATTCTAACAATATCGGACAAATTTTACAAAATAAATAATGAAATAAATATATATTATAGTATGGTATTTATTTATCGAGGAAAAATAGGGATGTTATATTTTTCCTATTGAAAATAAAAAATTATAAAAAACAGTTATAGACGAGCCTGCATGAGTCTCTATTCAAGATGGCAGCTTTCATGACTCTAACATTAGACAACAACCGTCTCGGAAAATCTTTAAAAAATATCATTTATTGACAAATTGAAAACATGATTATCTAAAATTTGAAAATAAAACACGATTCAAGACGGAAATACGAATGTAAGTAGTATTTTTCTTCACAAATAATTACGTTTAGAGCAGTTTTTAATGTGAAATTCGTGCTGGTTGAAAGCACTGTGCAGAAGTCCTCCGTGCTGGTCGGGCCCGGCAGGCCGGCTGGCCCGCCCAGTGCCGACCGCCGTGGCTATAACGCTGCTTGCTATTATATTACCGAACCCCGAACCGAACCAAGTTCGGGTGAAAAATTGCCGAACTCTGCCGAACCGAACCGAACATAGCGTCTGACTTACAGCACTAATTCCGACCCAGATTGCACTGATAGGGTGATCATCCATAATACGCTTGCAGTTCACTTCCCCCTCCTCCTTATTCCCTCCTCCATCTCTGCCATCACTGACATTTACGTAGGGCCGGCCCCCTTTTCAATAACGGCTCCCAGGCCCTCAGGAATAACCCCAAAATTTCCTGATTACCATTTTGCCACTCTTTGGAGGGACCGGCTGGCCGTGGCCTCTTCAGAAGTGATTTTACACTAGAATTACGGCTTAACATGAACAAGAGCATGCTTAATATTTTTGAAAATAAGCTGAATTCCGACACAGTTTTGCACAACCTAAAAAATTATAATTTCACACGCGCGCATACCCCCCCCCCCAGTTTTTCCCTCATTCGTCGTTACTGCCACTTAGATCTAGATCTAGTGCCATTTCCTAATTGTAACTTTCTCCCTTTCTAACACTGGCTTCCTTGTCTCTTTTTTTTCTCTTCTTTTTTTCACTTTTCTTTTCTATTCTCTGCAGTCTTCTCCTTAATTCTCTTTTCTCTTCTTTTCTTCCTTTCTTTTTGCGCCGCCAATAGGGGGGGGGGGCGGCCGTTTCAGCCCCCCCCCCCCCCCACTGTACCAGTTAGATAATTAAGGACCTACTTTCTGTTTGGCAGACTTATCCTCATCATGCATTCATTCATTCGTTTAATTTATTCATCACGTTCATAAAATCATCATAGCTCATCGCACTCAACTACAATGTGTGGTCCCACATATTCTCTTGCGTGTCCCGTTCAGCCCACAACCAAACCACAGTCACAAAATGAACTAGATCTTATTTTCTTATCTCACACAATAATACAATTATTACTCACCATTATGGGTTTTACTGTAACGAATTTCCCACCCTTCTGGCAGGTCATCAGCCATTCTTAAAAAGTGGGAATTTGTAACTCGAAGACAGACAAAAAAAATGTTCGTTGGTTGACTCGCTACTCTTTTCCAGGCGGCAATGGTAGTCTAATTCTTAACCCTTTTCTAGCAGTTTCTCTCAAAATGCTTGTTTATTGTTTCTCACTTGTAGATCTACACTTCATTAAAAAAATCTATTCATATGTTCAATAAAATCAGCCTGCACGAATCATTTTTTACAAAGAGCGTTTTCCCTCATCAATAATGAATAATGATTTCATATCTAAAATATTTCCTGATAATCAGACTACATAGATGCATCTAGGGGTCCATGCATGCATCCACGCACCTGAGCACTGTTTATCAGGTAGATTTCACCTCCAGTTTTCAAGTTAAAAAATCTTGACAATAATATAGACTCCATTTAAAAATGGACTAAAATCAAAGATCTTCATTTTAAAATAGTGGCACAGCTGGAAAGATACAGATTACTGATGAGCCCTACTTTTTTCTTCTTCATTTTTCATCTAAACTTCATCTATATTTCTTTTAATGTCTCCTGCGTACAATTTCCAGGTGTAATAAAATGAGTTGGTTTCAACCGTGCACAAATCTGAAAAACAAAGAATTATTGGAATTTTGAAACAAAAGATTGTTTGATATGCTAGATGTGTATGTCTCACAACCCCATTTTATATTGTTCCATATGTCATCCAGCCCTCTCTCTATCCACCTTCTCTTTCTAGGCCCTCTCACTCTCTCCATCTCTGTCACACACAGCCTCTTTCCCTCCCACAGTCTCTCCGTACACTAAATATTTCTTATCTCCTTCTCTGACAGCTTCCTTCTTCTCCCACATGCATCTAAGACTCTTTGTCTCCCACATTGTCCCCTTTCCCTTTGTCTCTTGCTCTCTGATTTTCTCTTAACTTTTTCTTCACTTAATCTGTTATTGTCCCCCATCTCTCTTTCTCGACTTATCCTCCTTCCATTCACTCCCATCTCCATCTGTTTTCCTTCTTTCCCATCCTCTTTAATATTATATTTCTCTCCTCTTTCTCTCTCCCTCCTTTCATTCACTCACATCTTTGTTATTATACCTGCTTTTTTTCTTCTCTCTCTCTCTAAACTTCCTCCCATCTATCTGTTTACCTTCTTTCCCCCTCCTCCTTAATATTCCATTTCTCTCCTCTTTCCCTCTTTTCATTCACTCATATCTTTGTTATTACCTCCCTATTTCTCTCTCACTCTCTAAACTTCCTCTCATCTCTATCTGTTTACCTTCTTTCCCCCTCCTCCTTATTTCTCTCCTCTTTCTCTCTCCCTCCTTTCATTCACTCACATCTTTGTTATACCTGCCTTTTTTCTTCTCTCTCTCTGAACTTCCTCCCATCCATCTGTTTACCTTCTTTCCCCCTCCTCCTTAATATTCCATTTCTCTCCTCTTTCTTCTCTCTTTCCCTCCTTTCATTCACTTATATCTTCGTTATTACCTCCCTATTTCTCTCTCACCCTCTAAATTCCTGCCATCTCTATCTGTTTACCTTCTTTTCACTTCTCCTTAATATTCCATTTCTCTCCTCTTTCTTCTCTCTTTATCTCTTTCCTTCCTTTCTTTCACTCATATCTTCGTTATTACCTCCCTATTTCTCTCTCACTCTCTAAACTTCCTCCCATCTCTATCTGTTTACCTTCTTTCCCCTCCTCCTTAATATTCCATTTCTCTCTTCTTTCTTCTCTCTTTATCTCTTTCCCTCCTTTCATTCACTCATATCTTCGTTATTACCTCCATATTTCTCTCTCACTCTCTAAACTTCCTCCCATCTCCATCTGTTTTCCTTCTTTCCCATCCTCTTTAATATTCTATTTCTCTCCTCTTTCTCTCTCCCTCCTTTCCTTCACTCACATCTTCGTTATTATACCTGCCTTTTTTCTTCTCTCTCTCTCTGAACTTCCTCCCATCTATCTGTTTACCTTCTTTCCCCTCCTCCTTAATATTCCATTTCTCTCCTCTTTCTTCTCTCTTTATCTCTTTCCCTCCTTTCATTCACTCATATCTTCGTTATTACCTCCCTATTTCTCTCTCACTCTCTAAACTTCCTCCTATCTCTATCTGTTAACTTCTTTCCCTTCCTCCTTAATATTCCATTTCTCTCCTCTTTCTCTCTCTCTCTCTCTCTCTCCCTCTCTTTCTCTTAGTGTATTCCCTACAAGTGCACTAGCTGTGTGAAATTCATAGCTCTGCATTAAATCCACCAAGTTTCATTCCCTGAAGACAAATAAATCAGACAAAACAAGTCGCTTGAGTGAAAAGTAGAAATATAATACTGTTTGCACATAATCTTGCAGAAATGTCAAATAGATTGCAATAGAAATATCACATACATTATACAAGTTTTAATTTTTTTTTATTTCAGAAGTGAATAGAACAATATGGAATGCAATACATCCCTGCAATGCATCCATACAACAGCTGTATGTACATGCATATACAAATGTACAATATTTACAGAATATTCATATGAAAATTATGCCTGGTAGGTTGGTATGAGTATCTTTACTAGACAGTATTTATTTGCACACAGTATTTCCTATGAAAAGAAAAGAAAAAACTACTAGTATACAAATATATTCTTGCATTTTGTTGAATACTGTTAATCATACACAGATAACAGACAATGCTTGTCTTTCTTAAGATATCCAAGTTTTTACTGAACACAGAAAAGTGAAAATGAATACTGTTTTTTTTTCTCCATAAAAAGTGGATAGATTGCATGGGATACTCTGGAAGCAACTATTGGAAAATACTGTTGTGAATCTGACAAAACAAACAATGTAAATAGTCCAAATGCAATATAAAAAAAGGAAGCAAATACTAATGCAGCCCCATATAAGCTTTCATTCAACGATTGTTACACATTTGAAACAAAAGTTGTCTTAGTTGATACCACATAATTCTGATTGCAACGTGGAAAGCTTTTTTGTAACTGACCCTTTTCATAAAACTTGTTATCAATAACAACTTTCACAAATCTATGACATATCTGCTCATAGATAGCCAATCAAATGCAAGGATTTCTGTAGCTTATAAGGATTATGGGGGGTGAGGGAGGTTAGAGCACTAATTTAACAATAACATTAACATTCACACCCAAAAACAATTTTTTAAAAATTGTTGGTAACATTAATTTAACCTCAAAAATAAAGAAGAAGACTAAGACTAGCCGCCTTCCCCTGGCTATATTTCAAGATCTTTGGTTCTGGCGGCCTGAGAGAGATTAGCACAGCTGGCGCGAGAATCTACCAATGACAAGGCCTGACAGTGGAGTTCGGCGTTATGAACATTACGGCTGTGTGAATGTATTCTCGAACCCATAGTAGTTAGGGATTTCAAGGAATCTGAGACTAGTCTACTATATAGAATGTTGGTTATTCATTTTATATAGTACGAATAAAACTCTTATTCGAATATAAGAGAACGAATATATGTGAGTGATGTGCGGGAAAATTTGCAGGTGGCACATGAGAATGCCAGAGAGAAGCTCGGAATAGCTGCAGACAGACAGGCCAGAGCATATGACAGGAATACGACTCACCGAACGTATACAGTGGGAGACTGGGTGTGGCTGTATGATGCATCAAGGAAGAAGGGAGTTTGTCCTAAACTAACAGTGAAATGGAAGGGACCATTTATGGTAACAGCCAAGTTATCTGATGTAGTGTATCGTATTCAGGAGTCACCAAAGGGAAAACCAAAAGTACTACATGTCGATAGACTGAAGGCGTATACTGGAGCACCACTAGACAATTGGCTGAATCATTCAATCAGGCGTAACCCAAATAGAAGTAGATTACCACCATTGAGATATAGGGACTTATAATAGCACAAGAGTTTGCAGCATTAACATGTACTGTCATCTAACTCTAGGGATAACAAGATATATATTTCACATGCATTTCTACTCCCTCTTAAATCTATGAACTACAGGACATGGTGGTGTGTGACAAATGTACAGCGGAGCTGCCTGGCTACTACCAGTATTTAGAACATTATAAAAAAAAACATCAAGGCTTTCCAGTAGTCACTTTGACTTGCCACCGATGCAAGGAGGAGTTTGTTGAGCGAAAAGACATTACTGAACACTATAATGTGAACCATCCTCAGGACTTAGATTTTGTGAAATACCTACGGTATGAATCTGCCTCTCCAGAATTCTTGAATCGAAGGAAGCAGAAGAAAGAACTTGAAAGGAAGGAAGAAGAGAAAAAGAGGAGAGAAGAAAAGAAGAGGAAGGAGATGAAGGAGAGGAAAGAGCAGGAGGGGAAAGAACAGGAAAGAAAGGAGAAAGAAAGGAGAAAGAAAGGAAAGAGCAGGAGAGGAAGGAACAGGAAAGAAAGGAGAAGGAGCAACAGCTGGAGAAGAAGGAACAGGAAAAGAAGAAGAAGGAACAGGAAAAGAAGGAGAAGAAAGAACTACCAAAGAAGGAACAGGAAAAGAAGAAGGAGAAGGAAAGGAAAGAGCAGGATAGGAAGGAACAGGAAAGAAAGGAGAAGGAGAAACAGCTGGAGAAGAAGGAACAGGAAAAGAAGGAGAAGGAAGAACTACCAAAGAAGGAACAGGAAAAGAAGAAGGAGAAAGAGAAGAACCAGGACAGGAAGGAGATAGAGAGAAAGGAGCTGGAAAGAAAGGAAGTAGAGAGGAAGGACTTGGAGAGAAAGAAGAAAGAAGAAAGACACAAGAAGAAAGAAGCTGAGATGATGATTGAACTGTTTGGACTTGACAGCGAGAGCGAGAGCGAGTATGAATCGCCGAAAAAAAAAAAACCATACTTGGAACTCCTGAGAGAAGATAGCTCAGACACAGACGACATAGTGCTTCAGATTCAGAAGGCCCCTAAAGGTGTCCTTCGTGTAGTGAACAAAGTAACAATCCACACAAGTTTCTACGTGCCAACACTAACTGGATACAGCCTCAAGAGGAGGTTGGTTGAGACTAGGTACCCAGAAAAACCTCCAAGCGTTGTTGAAGAATAATGTTTTGATGTTTACTATCTAAATGATTGATATTCATATGTTGTACATAGACACATTTCTAAATTATATGCTGGCAAAGTGTGCATATATTGTGCATATACATTGTATATATTTGTAAACTATGTGTAGACAGTTATGAGCTCTCACCATAAGTCTGAGAATGTTTTTTTTTTTTTTTTTTTTATCACTGGGGACAGTGATTTATTTGGTGGGGGGTAGTGGGGGGTAGTGTGGCGTAAATGCCTATCAAATTATTTTTATCTTTCTCTTATGTTGTTGAATTTGACAACACGGTAGATTTTCGGTCCAGAAATGTGACCTACTTTCAAAGCAAAGGTCTTTGCCCTTTTAATCAATTAATAAGCGTATTTTTTTTACATATACGCGCGCGCAAGTTGAGTTTAGATACGCGCAATATCACTAATCAGTGCTAGCTACTGCAGCAGCAGAAACCATATATGGGATTAGTAGGAATTTACGTAAAAAACGCAAATAAAATGAATTATTAATATGCAATAATATAACAACTTACTTAGATGTGTGTAGTGCATGGAAGTTGGAATTGCAGATTTTGGTCGTAGTTTCTTGTAATATTTATATTGAAGAGTAGTATTTTCCTTTATCTGGAAAGTGATTCCTATGATGAAGCATTTGTATTAATCCTTATGGACGCACCGTGCGTGCGTAATAGTTTTGGTTAGGACATATGAGAGTTTTTGTGCGTAAGCCCGTAAGTACAGGTATAAGCGGGAAATACAAAATTTTGTCGTCTGCCCAAAGTCTATAAATAGGGGTGCATTTTTGGGAAAAATTAAGTTGTTGGGGAAGACCTCCCCAAGTGAGCTGGAGAAAACCAGAACTAAGCAACCATCTCTGGACGTTTTGTTTTCCTCTTCACTGGATCTGGCCATAAGCATCACAAAACCCTTGCCCACCATGATTTGGGTTAGAATACTGCGATCTCTCGTTACGTAATACTGTCAAGCGTACAACTTCCAAAAAAAAAAATCATTCAAATGATTATTTTAAATCGTAGCGTGTACATAAGTTAAAAAGGAATTATTAATCTGACATGTAAATTGTAAATAGACATTTAACTATACAAATAGAAAAGTACAAAAATTACAAAGCCAATTGTAATAACTTCTTCAGCTGCATCTAGAAGCTGATAATTATTTGATGTTACAGTAATACAGATTATTTATCAGAGACATCAAAATGAGATAACTTAAGTTATTCACTTTGAGTAGTAATCAACTTGAGAGCTGTTTTATATTTAACTGTTGCTCAGACAGCAGAGAGAGGTTACAGTTGGTCGACAAGTTCTAATGCTTAGAAAGATAACTGTGTGAATGTATTCTCGAACCCATAGTAGTTAGGGATTTCAAGGAATCTGAGACTAGTCTACTATATAGAATGTTGGTTATATTACAAGTTTGCACCGACAAAGTGAGTGGAACTTGGTAATGAGCTGTAAGGCTGCTGAATAAGGCCCGTTGAGAGGTTGTCAGGAATTGAATTTAGAGGAAGTTTCCCCACGGTTGGTAATTAGCAAGGACAAGTTACTGAGTAACTGCAGGCAGTTGAGATAGAATCAAGTTGGCTCCCAGGGGGGGGGGGGGGGTTATAGTAATTATTTTTGCTCACTACCCCCCCCCCCTTCCCCTCTCGTTGAGCATAAACAAAAATAAATTAGTGCTCTTCCCTTCTTCACCCCCCTGGTATATCTACTCACCAATTGGGGAAAACATTTGTGCTCCTTACCCCCCCCACCCCCTTTATTCGCCGCTAAATATTTTCCCACGAATCAGGCCCCCTCTTTGCCCCCCCCCCCCCCCCCCCCCCCCCCCCGTTGCTGCTGGCTGGATCCACCCCTGATTGAATATTGGTTGTTATTATGGATACAGATATTTGCTTACATAATAAACATATGCATTTTAGCCAATATTGTTGTATCAAAATATTATCCTCCTTCTTGTGACCTAGAACATTCTTTACTTCTTTATTTCTTTCAGAGGGTGCGCAGTTGGAAGACCAAAAAACTGTTTGTGAAAAAAAAAAATTCATTGTTGGCGGGAGAGCTGACATGATGCAAGTACCATTGTCAGGGTTCTTACCACTAATGAAGAAAAGTAGCTGTGAGAAACTTGAAGAACAAACAATATTTTCTGAGAATGGACCTATTCTGGACCAAACTTTTGAAGTTGAACAGAAAGAAGACCTTCCTAAATAATAATAATTATGTTTAGACACATTGTCACTACAATATAATATTTTTTGATTATCTTGAAGACTTGATTTCTTTTGGATTTTTTTTGTTTACTTGCTGAGTTTAAATTTACATTTGAGATTTAATCTGTATTCTTTCTGGTATGTTTACTTCTCACCATGTGATGATGTGTTCATGTATATGTATGTCTTTATATGTATTTTATGTTATGCAGGGCCCCCAAGAATAACAGTATTTTATCTACTGATGGGGCTACCCTATTGAAATAAAACGAAATAAATAAATAAATAAATAATGAAGGTAATGAAGGACTGGGCTAGCCTTCAGCCACTCCTCGCTAGTGCATATATTGAAGGTCATGCGCCATTCATGAATGGAACATGCATACTCTGCCCAGAGGAAGTAACAATTGTGTGTGCAGACTGTGGCGTGCATGCTTGCTATTGCAAAGACTGTTCTGAAAGGTTCCATACAATTCTGCTCCATAAACCCGTGGCATGGATGGTAATTATTTGTTTCATTTTTCATTTTTTGCACACATATAAACAAATTTATTGAAATCATCATTAGCATTTCTTATCTTAATTCCTGATACTAATTCCTGAATGTTGATTGAAAATGTAATTCTGAAATAATAAAAGCAATTGCATAAACTGCAGAATGATATTGATTAATGTTGGGGTTACCTACATGTACATCAAACGTCCTGTACAGAACACAAGCTCCTAGTTGCGGCAGAGGCTGGAGTCAGATTCAATGAGGGAGACTTGAGCACCAGGCAACAGCAAGGGTATCAAAAAAACCCTGCAAATAAACATCCATGAAATGGGTGCAACATCTTTTGACGGAGCACTGGATATTGCTGTGGGAGTTGAGAGAGCAAACCGGATGGGACAACCGTCAATAGCACCAGACTATACTATAGCTTCAACTTCGCCGAAGAGAAATGATACCAGCTCGGTGACACTTGAAAAGGTCTTAAAGTCTTTGGATGAGCCTGAACTCAAGCTGGAGAGACACCACTCTAGATCAAAACATCAATACTCTGATGATTGTCGTCGCTAACCATCGAGATTGCCCAGCCCATATGAACACCAATCTAGATCGAAGCGCCAATATTCTGATGAACATAAGAAGAGGATGAAGCTATGCTAGGACGTCCAAATAAGCCTTTCACTTTTAAACCCACGTTCACCGCTGACGAAATGCAAGCAAGGCAACGGGAAAGACTTCAGTGTCACGGCGGCAGCGACGAAGACGAAGACCCACCAGCCCCAAATCCAGACGGAGACCGTCTTGCTAACAGCGACTGGTGTTTCTGTGGGGTATGCACCCCAATGGAGACTCTGTTACAGTGTCGATATTGTGTTGAAGTCATGAACTGTCGACGCTTTTTGAGCGAAGTTATTCCTTGCATTACTGTTCATGAAGACTTTAGTAAAGTTTGTCTTGAACGGGCAGTTCTTAGGACGTCCTTGATTGCCTCGCTTGGATACGAGAGGGCATAGGGACCGAATACCGGATAAGCTTGAAAATGAGTATGTTTAATTCTAGTTTTTTATTTTCAAAGTCAGGTAGTACGTGCAATGTATTAGTAATTGGTTGTAACTGTATTTTAGGAGGTTGTATGTTTGGATAATAAAGCTTCTGCCTAGGCCATGCCTTTGGCTTTTGATATAAACAAATTTGTCATAATATAATTACCATCATGAATATTTTTTCTTCTTGCGTGTCCAACATAGCTTAGTAGATTTATGAAACACTGCTTGTAAATTCTTTGAATAATGGTTGAAATCTCGTGTCCAGATAACCAACCTGTCTCGACGCAGGATATTTGGGTGTTCAGGACTTTATGTTTTATTTATTACTTCTATGGTTAGCGATGGCACCTTGTGCGTGAGTCGTGAGAGGATACAATAATGGTTTGATTGTCAAGAGTGAACGCCATGAAAATATGTGCAATACTATTCCTAAAAAATGGAAAAAGAAATTAGTTTTTAATATTAAACTGAAGCAGCTTGTCTCATTCTCACTCTTTTTTTTTTCTTTTGCTACAGGTCTTACAGATATGCAGGCTATCGAATGTTTACCTACTGGGTCCAAGGCCTACTAGGGAGAGGGGTGAGGAGAGTCATACCAGCCTGCGCAGTTGAATTGATCCGCAGCACCTTTCCTAAAGCAGATGGGAATTATGTTGAATATAGGTATGGATGAGTAGCAGAGGCGGGACAATATCATTGTTAGGGGAGTCCCCGAGAACCCAGAGGAATCTACTGGGAAGCTGGTGGTGGAGGTTGCAGCAGAGGCTCAAATCGGGTTCAATGAGGGAGACTTGAGCACCAGCTTCCTGCGTTGTGCAATGCTCTGCAAGTCACAATTACCATTTACAAGAAATCACAGAATGATGGGTGTTATACACTAAGCAAGCATCCCCCTGGCCGTCTTTGCAAGGTTTGTCAGACATGATGACAGGGTTCAGCAACTACGCAATAAGAAGAAGGAAAATGTAGCAGAAGCTAGGAGGGAAGTTGGAAATGAAGGAAATAACTGTATGTGGGGATGGGAGGTGCGATTCCCCTAGGCATAATGCAAAGTACTGCAGTTATTCCATGATGAATATGAGTACAAATAAAGTCTTGTCCATGGCCCTGGTTCAAGTGTCAGAAGCTACAAGCTCTGTGGCAATGGAAAAGGTAGGTTTCAAACGGGCCATGCAAGAGCTGGTGGAGGCTGGTATCAATGTTAGCACAGTCGCAACTGACAGACACGT